GAGATGCTGAGACGACGCGCGTCCCCCTCCATGGGGCGCCGCCATGTTGTACGGAAACTGATAGCCGACATCTTGCCCTCCACCCCACGTCGCCGCCATGCTGTACCTCCACAAGGCGCCGCCATCTTGGCCCCCTCCAAGGCGCGCCGCCATATTGTACGGCACATGGGCGCCGCCATCTTGCCCCCCGCAACATGTCACGTGTAGCACTGCGACTGCGCGCGGCCATCTTGGACCCTCCAAGGGGCGCCGCCATGTTGTACGGCACATGGGCGCCGCCATCTTGCACCCATAACACGTGACAATGTAGTACTGCGACTGCGCGCGGCCATCTTGGCCCCCTCCAACGGGCGCCGCCATCTTGCCCCTCTGCCCACGTCGCCGCCATCTTGTACGGCAACTGAAGGCCGCCATCTTGGACCCTCCAAGGGGCTCCGCCATCTTGTCCGGCACATGGGCGCCGCCATCTTGCCCCCCCTTACCCCCTTCTAGACCCCATAGGCGCCGTCCATAGGGCGAAAAAGGGGGCGTGGTTTATTGAAGGGGGCGGGGCCGCCCCCCCCCCCCCGCTACGGGTTCACCCCAAGGTCTCCTTCCAGGGGCGCTTGGGGGGCAGGGGGGGGGGCGGGGGGGGGGTGTGGGGGGCCAGGGGGTTCCGGGCGAACGTCTGGCGGAGGGGGCCTATGGGGGGCAATGGGGATGGGGGTCAGCATGGGGGGCCCATAGGGGGCAATGGGGGTCCCATAGGGGGCAATGGGGGCCCATAGGGGGCAATGGGGATGGGGGTCCCATAGGGGGCAATGGGGGTCCCATAGGGGGCAATGGGGGTCCCATAGGGGGCAATGGGGATGGGGGTCCCATAGGGGGCAATGGGGGTCCCATAGGGGGCAATGGGGATGGGGGTCAGCATGGGGGGCCCATAGGGGGCAATGGGGGTCCCATAGGGGGCAATGGGGATGGGGGTCCCATAGGGAGCAATGGGGGTCCCATAGGGGGCAATGGGGGTCCCATAGGGGGCAATGGGGATGGGGGTCCCATAGGGAGCAATGGGGGTCCCATAGGGGGCAATGGGGGTCCCATAGGGGGCAATGGGGATGGGGGTCCCATAGGGGGCAATGGGGGTCCCATAGGGGGCAATGGGGATGGGGGTCCCATAGGGGGCAATGGGGGGCCCATAGGGGGCAATGGGGGTCCCATAGGGGGCAATGGGGATGGGGGTCCCATAGGGGGCAATGGGGGTCCCATAGGGGGCAATGGGGGTCCCATAGGGGGCAATGGGGATGGGGGTCCCATAGGGGGCAATGGGGATGGGGGTCCCATATGGGGCAATGGGGGTCCCATAGGGGGCAATGGGGATGGGGGTCCCATAGGGAGCAATGGGGGTCCCATAGGGGGCAATGGGGGACCCATAGGGGGCAATGGGGGTCCCATAGGGGGCAATGGGGATGGGGGTCCCATAGGGGGCAATGGGGGTCCCATAGGGGGCAATGGGGGTCCCATAGGGGGCAATGGGGATGGGGGTCCCATAGGGGGCAATGGGGGTCCCATAGGGGGCAATGGGGTTCCCATAGGGGGCAATGGGGGTCCCATAGGGGGCAATGGGGATGGGGGTCCCATAGGGGGCAATGGGGGTCCCATAGGGGGCAATGGGGATGGGGGTCCCATAGGGGGCAATGGGGGTCCCATAGGGGGCAATGGGGATGGGGGTCCCATAGGGGGCAATGGGGGTCCCATAGGGGGCAATGGGGGTCCCATAGGGGGCAATGGGGATGGGGGTCCCATAGGGGGCAATGGGGGTCCCATAGGGGGCAATGGGGATGGGGGTCCCATAGGGGGCAATGGGGGTCCCATAGGGGGCAATGGGGATGGGGGTCCCATAGGGGGCAATGGGGGTCCCATAGGGGGCAATGGGGATGGGGGTCCCATAGGGAGCAATGGGGGTCCCATAGGGGGCAATGGGGATGGGGGTCCCATAGGGGGCAATGGGGGTCCCATAGGGAGCAATGGGGATGGGGGACCCATAGGGGGCAACGGGGGTCCCATAGGGGGCAATGGGGATGGGGGTCCCATAGGGGGCAATGGGGGTCCCATAGGGATCAATGGGGCTCCCATAGGGATCAATGGGGCGCCCATAGGGATCTATGGGGCTCCCATAGGGATCAATGGGGCTCCCATAGGGATCAATGGGGCTCCCATAGGGATCAATGGGGCACCCATAGGGATCTATGGGGCTCCCATAGGGATCAATGGGGCTCCCATAGGGATCAATGGGGCACCCATAGGGATCAATGGGGCTCCCATAGGGATCAATGGGGCTCCCATAGGGATCTATGGGGCACCCATAGGGATCTATAGGGCACCCATAGGGATCAATGGAGCCCCCATAGGGATCTATGGGGCACCCATAGGGATCAATGGGGCTCCCATAGGGATCAATGGGGCTCCCATAGGGATCAATGGGGCTCCCATAGGGATCAATGGGGCACCCATAGGGATCTATGGGGCTCTATGGGGCTCACCCTTGGCGGCCATGTCCAGGTGATGACGTAAGCGCCACTGTCGCTCCTCCCCCCGCTGGAGGGCCTGGGCCTCGCGCCACTCTGCTTGGGGGGCAGAGACCCATAGGGACCCCATAGAGACCCATAGAGACCCATAGAGACCCATAGAGACACATAGAGACCCATAGAGACCCATAGAGACCCATAGAGACACATAGAGACCCATAGAGACCCATAGCGCCCCATAGAGACACATAGAGACCCATAGAGACCCATAGAGACCCATAGAGACCCCATAGGGACCCATAGAGATCCATAGAGCCCCATAGGGACCCATAGAGACCCACAGAGACCCACAGAGACCCACAGAGACCCCATAGGGACCCATAGAGACCCCATGGGGACCCATAGAGACCCATAACCCCCCCATAACCGCCCTATAGACCCCCTTTATAGCCCCGTAGACCCCCATTACCCCCCATAGACCCCTCCATAGCCGCCCCATAACCCCCCCATATCCCTCCCCATGTCACTCCCATAGCCCACCCCATAGACCCCCCATAGCTGCCCCATAGACCCCCATAACCCCCCATAGACCCCCCATAGCCCCCCCATATCCCACCCCATAGACCCCCATATCCCCCCATAGCCGCCCCATAGCATCCCCATAGACCCCCATAGACACCCCATAGCTCCCCCATAACCACCCCATAGACCCCCTATAGACCCCCATAGACCCCCATAACCCCCCCCTAGACCCCCCATAGCTCCCCCATAGACCCCCATATCCCACCCCATAGACCCCCATAACCTGCCCTATAACCCCCCATATCCCCCCCATATCCCCCCCATAGACCCCCATAACCACCCCATAGTCACCCCATAGACCCCCTATAGACCCCCATATCCCCCCATAGACCTCCCACCCCATAACCGCCCCATAGCCTGCCCCATAGACCCTCTATAGACCCCCATAGACCCCATAGATCCCCCATAGATCCCCCATAGACCCCCATAACTGCCCCATAGCCCGCCCCATAACCGCCCCATATCCCACCCCATAGCCCCCCATAGACCCCCATAACCCCCCCATAGCATCCCCATAGACCCCCCATAACCACCCCATAGACCCCCTATAGACCCCCATAGACCCCCATAACCCCCCCCTAGACCCCCCATAGCTCCCCCATAGACCCCCATATCCCACCCCATAGAGCCCCATAACCTGCCCTATAACCCCCCATATCCCCCCCATATCCCCCCCATAGACCCCCATAACCACCCCATAGTCACCCCATAGATCCCCCATAGACCCCCATATCCCACCCCATAGACCCCCTATAGACCCCCATATCCCCCCATAGACCTCCCACCCCATAACCGCCCCATAGCCTGCCCCATAGACCCCCATAACCCCCCCATAGCATCCCCATAGACCCCCCATAGACCCCCCATAGACCCCCATAGACCCCATAGATCCCCATAGCCGCCCCATAGCTGCCCCATAGACCCCCCATAGACCCCCCATAGACCCCCATAGACCCCATAGATCCCCATAGCTGCCCCATAGACCCCATAGATCCCCCATAGACCCCCATAGACCTCCCACCCCATAACCGCCCCATAGCCTGCCCCATAGACCCCCATAGACCCCCATAGACCCCATAGATCCCCCATAGACCCCCATATCCCACCCCATAGCTGCCCCATAACCACCCCATATCCCGCCCCTCCCCCCCCAAGCACCCACCCTGTTTGATCTTCGCCACCACCCCCCCGCCCCTCCCCCCCCTTCCCCATCCCCCCCCCCCCGACCTCGGGGGTGGGGGTGGGGGGAGGGGGAGGCCGAGGCGGGCGCGCAGCGCCGGCACCCGCAGCAAGGCCGCGTGCCATAGGCTGAAGGAGTTCGACGTCAGCCAATAGGTGAAGACGGCCTGGGGAGGGCGGGAAGCAGCGGCAGCCAATGGGAGAGCGGTAGCGATACATAGGTACATACACGCACCCTCATTAGAGCGATCCCATAGCGCCTGCCCCATAGCGCCTGCCCCATAGCAAGCTCTGCCCCATAGCAAGCTCTGCCCCATAGCCACCTACTGCCCCATAGCACCTGCCCCATAGCAAGCTCTGCCCCATAGCTTCCACTGCCCCATAGCAACCTCTGCTCCAAAGCACCTGCCCCATAGCAAGCTCTGCCCCATAGCAAGCTCTGCCCCATAGCTCCCACTGCCCCATAGCAAGCTCTGCCCCATAGCAAGCTCTGCCCCATAGCTCCCTGTGCCCCATAGCAACCACTGCCCCATACCTCCCACTGCCCCATAGCTCCTGCCCCATAGCAAGCTCTGCCCCATAGATCCTGCCCCATAGCTCCCACTGCCCCATAGCGCCTGCCCCATAGCTACTGCCCCATAGCAACCTCTGCCCCATAGCTGCCTCCTGCCCCATAGCAACCACTGCCCCATAGCAAGCTCTGCCCCATAGTAAGCTCTGCCCCATAGCAACCACTGCCCCATAGCTCCCTCTGCCCTATAGCTCCCACTGCCCCATAGCTCCTGCCCCATAGCAACCTCTACCCCATAGCTCCCCCTGCCCCATAGCTCCCTGTGCCCCATAGCAAGCTCTGCCCCATAGCTCCTATAGCTCCCACTGCCCCATAGCTCCTGCCCCATAGCAACCTCTGCCCCATAGCTCCTGCCCATAGCAGCCTCTGCCCCATAGCAACCACTGCCCCATAGCTCCCACTGCCCCATAGCTCCTGCCCCATAGCAACCTCTGCCCCATAGCGCCTGCCCCATAGCAACCTCTGCCCCATAGCTCCCTGTACCCCATAGCTCCCACTGCCCCATAGCTCCTGCCCCATAGCTTCTACCCCATAGCAACCACTGCCCCATAGCTCCCACTGCCCTATAGCTCCCTCTGCCCTATAGCTACTGCCCCATAGCAACCTCTGCCCCATAGCTCCCACTGCCCCATAGCAACCTCTGCCCCATAGCGCCTGCCCCATAGCAAGCTCTGCCCCATAGCAAGCTCTGCCCCATAGATCCTGCCCCATAGCTACCTCTGCACCATAGGTCCCTGTACCCCATAGCAAGCTCTGCCCCATAGCTCCTGCCCGATAGCAACCACTGCCCCATAGCCACCTCCTGCCCCATAGCTCCTGCCCCATAGCAACCACTGCCCCATAGCTCCCACTGCCCCATAGCTCCCACTGCCCCATAGCTCCCTCTGCCCCATAGCTCCTGCCCCATAGCAACCTCTGCCCCATAGCGCCTGCCCCATAGCAACCGCTGCCCCATAGCTCCCTGTACCCCATAGCTCCTGCCCCATAGCAACCTCTGCCCCATAGCTCCCTGTGCCCCATAGCAACCTCGGCCCCATAGCAACTGCCCCATAGCTCCTGCCCCATAGCAACCTCTGCCCTATAGCTACTGCCCCATAGCAACCTCTGCCCCATACCTCCCACTGCCCCATAGCTCCTGCCCCATAGCAACCTCTGCCCCATAGCTCCTGCCCCATAGCAACCTCTGCCCTATAGCTACTGCCCCATAGCTCCACCCCATAGCTCCACCCCATAGCTCCGCCCCATAGCTCCACCCCATAGCGCCCCATAGCTCCACCCCATAGCTCCCCATAGCTCCACCCCACAGCTCCGCCCCATAGCTCCCCATAGCTCCACCCCATAGCTCCGCCCCATAGCTCCACCCCATAGCTCCCCATAGCTCCGCCCCATAGCTCCACCCCATAGCTCCCCATAGCTCCGCCCCATAGCTCCACCCCATAGCTCCCCATAGCTCCCCCCCATAGCTCCACCCCATAGTGCCCCATAGCTCCACCCCATAGCTCCACCCCATAGCTCCCCCCCATAGCTCCACCCCATAGCTCCACCCCATAGCTCCGCCCCATAGCTCCACCCCATAGCTCCGCCCCATAGCTCTACCCCATAGCTCCCCATAGCTCCACCCCTTAGCTCCGCCCCATAGCTCCGCCCCATAGCTCCACCCCATAGCTCCCCCCCCATAGCTCCGCCCCATAGCTCCGCCCCATAGCTCCCCATAGCTCCACCCCATAGCTCCGCCCCATAGCACCCCATAGCTCTACCCCACAGCTCCACCCCATAGCTCCACCCCATAGTGCCCCATAGCTCCACCCCATAGCTCCACCCCATAGCTCCACCCCACAGCTCCACCCCATAGCTCCACCCCATAGCTCCACCCCATAGCTCCGCCCCATAGCTCCCCATAGCTCCACCCCACAGCTCCACCCCATAGCTCCGCCCCATAGCACCACCCCACAGCTCCACCCCATAGCTCCACCCCATAGTGCCCCATAACTCCCCCCCATAGCTCCGCCCCATAGCGCCCCATAGCTCCGCCCCATAGCTCCGCCCCATAGCTCCCCCCCATAGCTCCACCCCATAGTTCCGCCCCATAGCTCCGCCCCATAGCTCCACCCCATAGCTCCGCCCCATAGCTCCACCCCATAGCTCCCCATAGCTCCACCCCATAGCGCCCCATAGCTCCACCCCATAACTCCCCCCCATAGCGCCCTATAGCTCCGCCCCATAGCTCCGCCCCATAGCTCCCCATAGCTCTACCCCACAGCTCCACCCCATAGCCCCACCCCATAGCTCCACCCCATAGCTCCACCCCATATCTCCACCCCATAGCTCCACCCCATAGCTCCGCCCCATAGCTCCACCCCATAGCTCCCCCCCATAGCTCCACCCCATAGCTCCACCCCATAGCTCCCCCCCATAGCTCCACCCCATAGTGCCCCATAGCTCCACCCCATAGCTCCGCCCCATAGCTCCACCCCATAGTGCCCCATAGCTCCGCCCCATAGCTCCACCCCATAGCTCCCCATAGCTCCACCCCATAGCTCCGCCCCATAGCGCCCCATAGCTCTACCCCATACCTCCACCCCATAGCTCCGCCCCATAGCTCCACCCCATAGCTCCCAATAGCTCCGCCCCATAGCTCCCCATAGCTCCACCCCATAGCTCCGCCCCATAGCTCCACCCCATAGCTCCGCCCCATAGCTCCCCATAGCTCCACCCCATAGCTCCACCCCATAGCTCCACCCCATAGCGCCCCATAGCTCCACCCCATAGCTCCACCCCATAGCTCCCCATAGCTCCGCCCCATAGCGCCCCATACCTCCACCCCATAGCGCCCCATAGCTCCGCCCCATAGCTCCGCCCCATAGCGCCCCATAGCTCCCCCCCATAGCTCCACCCCACAGCTCCACCCCATAGCTCCACCCCATAGCTCCACCCCATAGCTCCACCCCATAGCGCCCCATAGCTCCACCCCATAGCTCCACCCCATAGCTCCCCATAGCTCCGCCCCATAGCGCCCCATACCTCCACCCCATAGCGCCCCATAGCTCCGCCCCATAGCTCCGCCCCATAGCGCCCCATAGCTCCCCCCCATAGCTCCACCCCACAGCTCCACCCCATAGCTCCACCCCATAGCTCCACCCCATAGCGCCCCATAGCTCCACCCCATAGCTCCACCCCATAGCTCCCCATAGCTCCGCCCCATAGCGCCCCATACCTCCACCCCATAGCGCCCCATAGCTCCGCCCCATAGCTCCGCCCCATAGCGCCCCATAGCTCCCCCCCATAGCTCCACCCCACAGCTCCACCCCATAGCTCCACCCCATAGCTCCACCCCATAGCTCCACCCCATAGCGCCCCATAGCTCCACCCCATAGCTCCACCCCATAGCTCCCCATAGCTCCGCCCCATAGCGCCCCATACCTCCACCCCATAGCGCCCCATAGCTCCGCCCCATAGCTCCGCCCCATAGCGCCCCATAGCTCCCCCCCATAGCTCCACCCCACAGCTCCACCCCATAGCTCCACCCCATAGCTCCACCCCATAGCTCCACCCCATAGCTCCACCCCATAGCGCCCCATAGCTCCACCCCATAGCTCCGCCCCATAGCTCCGCCCCATAGCTCCACCCCATACCTCCACCCCATACCTCCGCCCCATAGCTCCCCATAGCTCCCCCCCATAGCTCCGCCCCATAGCTCCACCCCATAGCTCCACCCCATAGCTCCGCCCCATAGCTCCCCATAGCTCCACCCCATAGTGCCCCATACCTCCGCCCCATAGCTCCACCCCATAGCTCCCCCCCATAGCTCCGCCCCATACCTCCACCCCATAGCTCCGCCCCATAGCTCCACCCCATAGCTCCCCATAGCTCCGCCCCATAGCTCCACCCCATAGCTCCCCATAGCTCCGCCCCATAGCTCCGCCCCATAGCTCCCCATAGCTCCACCCCATAGCTCCACCCCATAGCTCCCCCCATAGCTCCCCATAGCTCCGCCCCATAGCTCCGCCCCATAGCTCCGCCCCACATCTCGCTCACCGTGGGGCAGTGCAGGATGAAGGGCAGGCAGATCAGGGGCAGGATGCGCAGGAGCTGCCGCGTGGCCACGCCCCCCGGGCTCGACACCCCCGACTCCGCCCCCAGCTGCGTGAATGGGGGGGGGATGTGACGTCACGACGCACGCCACGCCCACTTTCCCACGCCCCCCCCCCCCCCCCCCCATTCAGGCCGTACTCGAGGCCTCGTTCATGCCCCATAGCGCCCCATATAACACCCATAAAGCCCCATAGCAGCCCCATAGCACCCCGTTGCCCCCCATCCTCAGCCCCATAGCACCCCATAGCCGCCCCATATAACACCCATAAAGCCCCATAGCAGCCCCATAGCACCCCGTTGCCCCCCATCCTCAGCCCCATAGCACCCCATAGCCGCCCCATATAACACCCATAAAGCCCCATAGCAGCCCCATAGCACCCCGTTGCCCCCCATCCTCAGCCCCATAGCACCCCATAGCCGCCCCATATAACACCCATAAAGCCCCATAGCAGCCCCATAGCACCCCGTTGCCCCCCATCCTCAGCCCCATAGCACCCCATAGCCGCCCCATATAACACCCATACAGCCCCATAGCTCCCCATTATCCCCCTCCCCAACCCCATAGCCGCCCCATAGCCACCCCATTACCCCCCTCCCCAGCCCCATAGCCACCCCACAGCCGCCCCATAGCACCCCCCCCAGTTTTACCTCCAGCACCAGCCCCATAGCAGCCCATAGCACTCCATTACCCCCCTCCCTAGCCCCATAGCACCCCATTACCCCTCTCCCCAGCCCCATAGCTCCCCACAGCCACTCCATAGAACCCCATTACCGCCCTCCCCAGCCCCATAGCCACCCCATAGCCGCCCCATATAACACCCATACAGCCCCATAGCCGCCCCATAGCACTCCATTACCCCCCTCCCCAGCCCCATAGCACCCCATAGCCGCCCCATATAACACCCATACAGCCCCATAGCCGCCCCATAGCACTCCATTACCCCCCTCCCCAGCCCCATAGCGCCCCATAGCCACCCCATAGCCGCCCCATAGCACCCCATTACCCCCCTCCAAAGCCCCATAGCACCCCACAGCCGCCCCACATAACACCCATACAGCCCCATAGCTCCCCACAGCCACCCCATAGCACCCCCATTACCACCCTCCCTAGCCCCATAGCACCCCATAGCCACCCCATATAACACCCATACAGCCCCATAGCCGCCCCATAGCACTCCATTACCCCCCTCCCCAGCCCCATAGCTCCCCACAGCCACTCCATAGCACCCCATTACCACCCTCCCTAGCCCCATAGTACCCCATAGCCGCCCCATATAACACCCATACAGCCCCATAGCCGCCCCATAGCACTCCATTACCCCCCTCCCCCAGCCCCATAGCGCCCCATAGCCGCCCCATAGCCACCCCATAGCCGCCCCATAGCCGCCCCATAGCGCCCCATAGCCGCCCCATAGCTTTACCTCCAGCACCAGCCCCATAGAGGCGACCACGAGCACGGGGAGGACGTAGAAGGGGTCGGGGGCAGTGAGGTCGGGGAACCAGGCCAGGCCGCCCCACTGCAAGCCCGGCACCGGAGCCGCCGCCATCGCTTGGAGGGCCAGGAAGAAGGAGATGAAGATGGGGGTCTGCGAGACATGGGGGGCGCCCTATAGAATCTATGGGGTGGGCCCCATAGAATCTATGGGGTGCCCTATAGAATCTATGGGGTGAGCCCTATAGAATCTATGGGGTGAGCCCTATAGAATCTATAGGGCACCCTATAGAATCTATGGGGTGAGCCCTATAGAATCTATAGGGCGCCCTATAGAATCTATGGGGTGAGCCCTATAGAATCTATGGGGCACCCTATAGAATCTATGGGGTGAGCCCTATAGAATCTATGGGGCACCCTATAGAATCTATGGGGTGAGCCCTATAGAATCTATGGGGTGAGCCCTATAGAATCTATGGGGTGAGCCCTATAGAATCTATAGGGCGCCCTGTAGAATCTATGGGGTGAGCCCTGTAGAATCTATAGGGCGCCCTGTAGAATCTATGGGGTGAGCCCTATAGAATCTATGGGGTGAGCCCTATAGAATCTATGGGGTGAGCCCTATAGAATCTATGGGGCACCCTATAGAATCTATGGGGTGAGCCCTATAGGATCTATGGGGCACCCTATAGAATCTATGGGGCAGGCCCTATAGAATCTATGGGGTGGGCCCCATAGGGCCCTATAGAATCTATGGGGTGAGCCCTACAGAATCTATGGGGTGCCCTATAGAATCTATGGGGCACCCTACAGAATCTATGGGGCACACACTATAGAATCCATGGGGCGGGCCCCATAGAATCTATGGGGTGGGCCCCATAGGGCCCTATAGAATCCATGGGGTGCCCTATAGAATCTATGGGGCGGGCCCTATGGAATCTATGGGGCGGGCCCCATAGGGCCCTATAGAATCCATGGGGTGCCCTATAGAATCTATGGGGTGAGCCCTATAGAATCTATGGGGCGGGCCCCATAGGGCCCTACAGAATCCATGGGGTGCCCTATAGAATCTATGGGGTGAGCCCTATAGAATCTATGGGGCATACACTATAGAATCTACGGGGCGGGCCCCATAGAATCCATGGGGTGCCCTATAGAATCTATGGGGTGAGCCCTATAGAATCTATGGGGCACCCTATAGAATCTATGGGGCAGGCGCTATAGAATCTATGGGGCGGGCCCGATGGAATCTATGGGGTGGGCCCCATAGGGCCCTATAGAATCTATGGGGTGCCCTATAGAATCCATGGGGTGCACACTATAGAACATATGGGGCGCCCTATAGAATCTATATGGCATACACTATAGAATGTATGGGGCGGGCCCCATAGAATCCAAGGGGTTCCCTATAGAATCTATGGGGTGAGCCCTACAGAATCTATGGGGTGCCCTATAGAATCTATGGGGCGCACACTATAGAAACTATGGGGCGGGCCCCATAGGGCCCTATAGAATCTATGGGGTGCCCTATAGAATCTATGGGGTGAGCCTTACAGAATCTATAGGGCGCCCTGTAGAATCTATGGGGCGCCCTATAGAATCTATGGGGTGGGCCCCATAGGGCCCTATAGAATCCATGGGGTGGCCTATAGAATCTATGGGGTGAGCCCTATAGAATCTATGGGGCGCCCTACAGAATCTATGGGGCAGGCCCCATAGAATCTATGGGGTGGGCCCCATAGGGCCCTATAGAATCTATGGGGTGCCCTATAGAATCTATGGGGCGGGCCCTATAGAATCTATGGGGTGAGCCCTATAGCGCCTATGGGGGGCCCTATAGGGGAGTATTATGGGATGCACCCATCCCATAGAGCGGACTATTATGGGCTACATCCCGCCCCATAGCGGGACTATTATGGGCTACATCCTGCCCCATAGCAGGACTATTATGGGCTACATCCTGCCCCATAGCGGGACTATTATGGGCTACATCCCGCCCCATAGCGGGACTATTATGGGCTACATCCTGCCCCATAGCAGGACTATTATGGGCTACAGACCTGGACCAGGGGCACCAGGAAACCCCGTAGCGGGTTGAGGCGGTGCCGCTGTTGGTAGCCAATCAGCTCCGAGTAGGCCCGGGCCACTGCGAAGGGGGGCGGAGCTTACGAGGAAGCCACGCCCCCCCTTCACCCTTATATGGCAAGCCCCGCCCCCTTTGCCCTTATATGGACCCCTTAAGCCCCCTTTAAGCCCCTCCCCTTCCCCTTATATAGACCCCCCCATTCACCCTTATATGGCAAGCCCCGCCCCTTTGCCCTTATATGGCAAGCCCTGTGCCCTTTGCCCTTATATGGGCCCTTTAAGCCCCTCCCCTTTCCCTTTTAAGCCCCTCCTCTTTCCCTTATATAGACTCCCCTTACCCCCCATTCGCCCTTATATGGCAAGCCCCACCCCTTTGCCCTTATATGGCAAGGCCCGCCCCCTTTACCCTTATATGCACCCTTTAGCCCCCTTTAAGCCACTCCCCTTCCCCTTATATAGACCCCCCTTACACCCTTATATGGCAAGCCCCACCCCCTTTGCCCTTATATGGACCCCTTAGCCCCCCTTTAAGCCCCTCCTCTTCCCCTTTAAGCCCCTCCCCTTCCCCTTATATAGACCCCCCCTTAACCCCCCATTTGCCCTTATATGGCAAGCCCTTTCCCTTTGCCCTTATATGGCAAGGCCCGCCCCCTTTCCCCTTATATGGACCCCTTAGCCCCCCTTTAAGCCCCTCCCCTTTCCCTTTAAGCCCCTCCCCTTCCCCTTATATAGACACCCAACTCCACCCCCTTCACCCCTCAAACCCCGCCCCTTCTCCCTTATATGGCAAGCCCCGCCCCTTCACAACTCAAACCCCACCCCTTTTGCCCTTATATGGCAAGCCCCGCCCCCTTCACCCCTCAAACCCCACCCCTTTTGCCCTTATATGGCAAGCCCCGCCCCCTTCACAGCTCAAACCCCACCCCTTTGCCCTTATATGGCAAGCCCCGCCCCCTTCACCCCTCAACCCCCACCCCTTTTGCCCTTATATGGCAAGCCCCGCCCCCTTCCCCCCTCACCTTCCCTTTGGTCGCTGCCCCTCCGGGCCTCAGCCAATCCCTTGGAGAGCTCCTGAAGGCGGGGGGCGTGGCGAGCCAATAGGGCGGCTTCCCGCTGCGCCCGGACCAATAGGGGCAGGAGGGCCACCCGCACGCAGAGGGTGCCTATGGGGCGGCATAGGGAACCCCATAGAGCCCCATAGAGACCCATAGAGACCCATAGAGCCCCATAGAGACCCATAGGGAACCCCATAGGCACCCCATAGAGCCCCATAGGGAACCCCATAGAGCCCCATAGGGAACCCCATAGAGCCCCATAGAGCCCCATAGGGAACCCCATAGAGCCCCATAGGGAACCCCATAGAGCCCCATAGAGCCCCATAGGGAACCCCATAGAGCCCCATAGGGAACCCCATAGGCACCCCATAGAGCCCCATAGGGAACCCCATAGAGACCAATAGAGCCCCATAGAGCCCCATAGAGCCCCATAGGGAACCCCATAGAGACCCATAGAGCCCCATAGGGAACCCCACAGAGCCCCATAGAGACCCATAGAGCCCCATAGAGACCCATAGAGCCCCATAGGGAACCCCATAGAGCCCCATAGGGAACCCCATAGAGCCCCATAGAGCCCCATAGAGCCCCATAGGGAACCCCATAGAGCCCCATAGGGAACCCCATAGAGACCCATAGAGCCCCATAGGGAACCCCATAGGCACCCCATAGAGCCCTATAGGGCCATAGGGACCCATAGGGATCTATGGGGACCAATAGGGGGACAGAGAGCCCAGCCCAGACCCACAGCAGCAGGGCTGCCCCACACATATAGGGCCCCTATAGAGCCCATAGGAAACCCCATAGGCACCCCATAGAGCCCTATAGGGCCATAGGGACCCATAGGGACCCATAGCGACCCATAGGGATCAATGGGGAGCAATAGGGGGACAGAGAGCCCGGCCCAGCCCCACAGCACCAGGGCTGCCCCACACGTATAGGGCCCCTATAGAGCCCATAGGAAACCCCATAGGCACCCCATAGAGCCCTATAGGGCCATAGGGACCCATAGGGACCCATAGCGACCCATAGGGATCAATGGGGAGCAATAGGGGGACAGAGAGCCCGGCCCAGACCCACAGCACCAGGGCTGCCCCACACATATAGGGCCCCTATAGAGCCCATAGGGAACCCCATAGGCACCCCATAGAGCCCTATAGGGCCATAGGGACCCATAGAGATCTATGGGGAGCAATGGGGGGACAGAGAGCCCGGCCCAGCCCCACAGCACCAGGGCTGCCCCACACGCATAGGGCCCCTATAGAGCCCATAGGAAACCCCATAGGCACCCCATAGAGCCCTATAGGGCCATAGGGACCCATAGGGACCCATAGCGACCCATAGCGACCCATAGGGATCAATGGGGAGATAAAGAGCCCGGCCCAGCCCCACAGCACCAGGGCTGCCCCACATGCATAGGGCCCCTATAGAGCCCATAGGGAACCCCATAGGCACCCCATAGAGCCCTATAGGGCCATAGGGACCCATAGCGACCCATAGCGACCCATAGGAATCAATGGGGAGATAAAGAGCCCGGCCCAGCCCCACAGCACCAGGGCTGCCCCACACATATAGGGCCCCTATAGAGACCATAGGAAACCCCATAGGCACCCCATAGAGCCCTATAGGGCCATAGGGACCCATAGGGACCCATAGCGACCCATAGGGATCAATGGGGAGCAATGTGGGGACAGAGAGCCCGGCCCAGCCCCACAGCACCAGGGCTGCCCCACACGCATAGGGCCCCTATAGAGACCATAGGAAACCCCATAGGCACCCCATAGAGCCCTATAGGGCCATAGGGACCCATACGGACCCATAGCGACCCATAGGAATCAATGGGGAGATAAAGAGCCCGGCCCAGCCCCACAGCACCAGGGCTGCCCCACATGCATAGGGCCCCTATAGAGCCCATAGGGAACCCCATAGGCACCCCATAGAGCCCTATAAAGCCATAAGCGCCCCATAGCCGCCCCATAGCCGCCCCATGGCTGCCCCATAGCCGCCCCATAGCGCCTTACCTGCCGCAATAGCCCCCCACCAGGGCAGCCCCACATCGAGGTGCAGGTACTGGAGGAAGTTCTGCACCAGCCCCACAGGGGTGAAGGCCCCGAGGCCCAGCTCTTCCAGACGCATCTCCGGGAGGCCCTGCCCCATAGCTTGGGGGGCCAGACCCATAGCAAGGGGGTCCTGGGATGTAGCAGCAGGGGCTGGACCCATAAGCGAAGGGGTTGGAGGTGTAAGGGAGGGCTCCTGACCCATAAGTGATGGGTTTGGTGCTATGGAAGAGGGGTCCTGACCCATAAGTGGGGGGCTGGGCCCCACAGCAGGCATAGGGGGTGTGGGGCCAGGCTGTAAAGGGGAAGGGAAGAAGGGGTTAGAATAGGGGGGGGGCTCACAGAGACAATACACTGCCCCATAGACGCGCAGAGAGCCCCACAAACACCCCATAGAGCCCCATAGAGCCCCACAGAGCCCCATAGACACCCCACAGAGCCCCATAGACCCCCACAGACCCCCATAAACACCCCACAGACACCCCATAGAGCCCCATAGGCACCCCACAGAGACCCCTAAACACCACATAGAGTCCCATAGAGCCCCATAGACCCACATAGAGCCCCATAAACACCCCACAGAGCCCCATAAACATCCATAAAGCCCCCATAGACACCCCATAGACCCCCACAGACTCCCACAGACACCCCACAGACCCCCATAAAGCCCCCATAGACTCCCACAGACCCCTGTAGACCCCCCATAAACCCCCACAGAGCTCCATAGACACCCCACAGACCCCCACAGACCCCCATAGACACCCCACTGAGCCCCATAAACCCCCATAAAGCCCCCACAGACTCCCACAGACCCCCACAGACACCCCATAGACCCCCACAGACCCCCATAGACACCCCACAGACCCCCATAGGCACCCCACAGACCCCCACAGAGCTCCATAGAAACCCCACAGACCCCATAGACACCCCACAGACACCCCATAAACACCCCATAGACACCCCATAGACACCCCGTAGACACCCCACAGACCCCACAGACCCCCATAGACCCCACAGAGCCCCATAAACACCCCATAAACCCCCGTAAAGCCCCCAGAGACCCCCATAGACCCCCACAGACACCCCATAAACACCCCACAGACCCCATAGACCCCCATAGACTCCCCACAGACCCCAGACACCCCACAGACCCCACAGATCCCCATAGACCCCCATAGACACCCCACAGACCCCACAGACCCCATAGACACCCCATAGATCCCCATAGACACCCCACAGACCCCACAGACACCCCACAGACCCCATAGACACCCCACAGACCCCCATAGATCCCCATAGACACCCCACAGACCCCATAGACACCCCATAGACCCTCATAGACACCCCGTAGACACCCCACAGACCCCATAGACACCCCATAGACACCCCACAGACCCCATAGATCCCCATAGACACCCCACAGACCCCATAGATCCCCATAGACACCCCACAGACCCCCATAGACTCCCCACAGACACCCCATAGACCCCCATAGACACCCCGTAGACACCCCGTAGACCCCATAGACACCCCATAGATCCCCATAGACACCCTACAGACCCCATAGACACCCCACAGACCCCATAGACACCCCATAGACACCCCATAGATCCCCATAGACACCCCACAGACCCCATAGACACCCCACAGACCCTCATAGACACCCCGTAGACACCCCACAGACCCCATAGACACCCCATAGACACCCCACAGACCCCATAGACACCCCACAGACCCCATAGACACCCTACAGACCCCATAGACACCCCACAGACCCCAAACCCCCCCCTCACCTCCACACCACCGCTAGCCAGGCCTCTCCTCACCGCCGCCACAGGCCCCAACGGGGCTCTCCAGGCCCACGGCGGGCCCCGCAACGCCTGCGAACGGCAACGGATGGGATCAAATCCGCCCCCAACCATTCCCGATCCCGTTTAGGCCCCGTTTGATCCCGTTTAAACCCCATTTAAACCTCGTTTAAACCCCGTTATCCACCTGCAACCGCACCGCCCTCAGCAGCGCCGCCGCCATCTTGGCTCCCCTGAGGCGAGGGCGAGGGGGCGGGGCCGAGAGGGCGGTGACGTCATCACGCACGCACGACGCACTGCCCCGCCCTATATAAGCGTCTTCCCGCCTCTTCCTCCTCTCCCCTCAGCGCCCGCCGCCATCTTGGGCTCCCCTCTGAGGCGCCGCCGTGGTGTTAAAAGGGGGGGCCCTGAGGTAAAAAAGGGGGGCCCCCCCCGTAGGAAAGGGTTGGGGACACTTTAGTGGGGGTTATGAGGGGGAAAAGGGGGGTAACCCCATAGGAAAGGGTTGGGGGAGCCCTTAATGGGGGGAAAAGGGGGGCTCCCCCCATAGGAAAGGGTTGGGAGACCCCCTAATGGGGGTTTATGAGGGGAAAATGGGGGGGTTATGGGGAAAAAGGGGGGATTTTGGGGGGTAGCCCCATAGGAAAGGGTTGGGGAGCCCCTTAATGGGGGTTTATGAGGGGAAAATGGGGGGTTATGGGGAAAAAAGGGGGGTAACCCCATAGGAAGGGGTTGGGGGAGCCCTTAATGGGGGGAAAAGGGGGGCTCCCCCCATAGGAAAGGGTTGGGGGACCCCCTAATGGGGGTTTATGAGGGGAAAATGGGGGGGTTATGGGGGAAAAAGGGGGGATTTTGGGGGGTAGCCCCATGGGAAAGGGTTGGGGGAGCCCTTAATGGGGGTTTATGGGGGAAAAAGGGGGGTAACCCCATAGGAAAGGGTTGGGGGACCCCTTAATGGGGGTTTATGGGGGAAAAAGGGGGGTTATGGGGAAAAAAGGGGGGTAACCCCATAGGAAAGGGTTGGGGGACCCCTTAATGGGGGTTTATGAGGGGAAAATGGGGGGTTATAGGGGAAAAAGGGGGGTAACCCCATAGGAAAGGGTTGGGGGACCCCTTAATGGGGGTTTATGGGGGGAAAAAGTGGGGTTATGGGGGAAAAAGGGGGGTCCCCCCCATATAAAAGCTTTGGGGACCCCCTTTAAGGCCTTTATTAAGGTTTAAATTGTTGTTTTTTTTCCCTTTTTTGCCTTTTTTTGCCCCATTTTAGGCAATGGAGGAGCAGGGGCACCCCCAAAAGGCTCGGGAGCCCCCCAAGAGCCCTGTAGGGGGTTCTATAGGGGAGGATATGGAGGGCTATGGGGCACCCCCAAAGGGCTATGGGGCAACCCCAAAGGGCAATGGGGACCCCATTAAAGGCAATGGGGACCCCATTGAGGGCAATGGGGCACCCCCAAAGGGCAATGGGGACCCCATTGAGGGCAATGGGGCACCCCCAAAAGGCAATGGGGACCCCATTAAAGGCAATGGGGCACCCCCAAAGGGCAATGGGAACCCCATTAAAGGCTATGGGGCACCCCCAAAGGGCAATGGGGACCCCATTAAAGGCTATGGGGACCCCGTTAAAGACATTGGGGACCCCATTAAAGCCTATGGGACACCCCCAAAGGGCAGTGGGGACCCCATTGAGGGCAATGGGGCACCCCCAAAGGGCAATGGGGACCCCATTAAGGGCAATGGGGACCCTATTAAAAGCAATGGGGACCCCATTAAAGACAATGGGGCACCCCCAAAGGGCAATGGGGACCCCATTAAAACCAATGGGACCCCCCCAAAGGGCAATGGGGACCCCATTAAAGACAATGGGGATCCCATTAAAGGCTATGGGGCACCCCCAAAGGGCAATGGGGACCCCATTAAAGACAATGGGTACCCCATTGAGGGCAATGGGGCACCCCCAAAGGGCAATGGGGACCCCATTAAGGGCAATGGGGACCCCATTGAGGGCAATGGGGCACCCCCAAAGGGCAATGGGGCACCCCCAAAGGGCAATGGGGACCCCATTAAAACCAATGGGACCCCCCCAAAGGGCAATGGGGACCCCATTAAAACCAGTGGGGCCCCCATTAAAGCCAATGGGGCCCCCATTAAAACCAATGGGGCCCCCATTAAAGCCAATGGGGCCCCCATTAAAACCAATGGGACCCCCATTAAAACCAATGGGGACCCCATTAAAACCAATGGGGACCCCATTAAAGCCAGTGGGGACCCCATTAAAGACAATGGGGCCCCCATTAAAGCCAATGGGGCCCCCATTAAAACCAATGGGACCCCCATTAAAACCAATGGGGACCCCATTAAAGCCAGTGGGGACCCCATTAAAGCCAATGGGGCCCCCATTGAAGGCCATGCCCCCCGCCTGGCCCCACTGCGGGCCGCCCTAGAGGCCGCGCTGCTGGGGGGCCCGGGGGTGCCCCTGCCCCCAGAGCTGGGCCCAGTGCTGGGGCTGCCCCTTCCGCCCCACACCAAGTGTCTGCACCTCGATGGGGCCCGTCTCCTGCGCCGCAACCTCACGCTGGTAACCCCATAGAGCCCTATAGCGCCCCATAGAGCCCTGTAGCGCCCCATAGAGACCCTATAGACCCCCATAGATCCCTATAGACCCCCATAGATCCCTATAGCGCCCCATAGATCCCTATAGCGCCCCATAGAGACCCTATAGACCCCCATAGAGACCCTATAGACCCCCATAGCGCCCCATAGATCCCCATAGCGCCCCATAGATCCCTATAGCGCCCCATAGAGCTCTATAGACCCCCATAGAGCCCCTATAGCGCCCCATAGATACCCTATAGCGCCCCATGGATCCTTATAGAGCCCTGCAGAGCCCCATAGATCCTTATAGCGCCCCATAGAGACCCTATAGACCCTCATAGATCCTTATAGAGCTCCTATAGAGCCCCATAGATCCTTATAGTGCCCCATAGAGACCCTATAGACCCCCATAGATCCTTATAGCGCCCCATAGACCCCCATAGATCCCTATAGCGCCCCATAGAGCCCTTATAGAGCCCCATAGAGCCCTATAGTGCCCCATAGAGCCCTATAGCGCCCCATAGATACCCTATAGAGCCCCTGTAGAGCCCCATAGATCGTTATAGTGCCCCATAGAGACCCTATAGACCCTCATAGATCCTTATAGAGCCCCTATAGAGCCCCATAGATCCTTATAGAGCCCCATAGAGCCCTATAGCGCCCCATAGAGCCCTATAGCGCCCCATAGAGCCCTATCGCGCCCCATAGATCCCTATAGACCCCCATAGATACCCTATAGCGCCCCATAGATCCTTATAGCGCCCCGTAGACCTCCTATAGAGCCCCGTAGATACCTATAGCACCCCATAGATCCCTATAGTGCCCCACAGATCCCTATAGCGCCTCATAGATCCCTATAGAGCCCCATAGATCGTTGTAGCACCCCATAGACCTCCTATAGAACCCCATAGATCTCTGTAGCACCCCATATATTCCTATGGAGCCCCATAGGTACTTACAGTGCCCCATAGACCCCTATAGCGCGCTATAGACCGCCATAGATCCCCTGTAGCACCCCATAGATCCCTATAGCACCCCATAGATCCCTATAGTGCCAATCCCTATAGAACCCCAATTCCCCCCTATAGGACCCCAATTTCTCCCCATAGAACCCCAGTGTCCCCCCATAGCACCCCAATATTGCCCATAGGACACCAGTTCTAGAGCCCCATTAACACCCCATAGAACCCCAATAGAACCCCATTAATCCCTATAGAACCCCATTAACCCCCATAGAATCCCATTAACCCCCATAGAACCCCATTATCACCCCATAGAACCCCCATTCCCCCCATAAACCCCCACTCCACCCCATTAAAACCCCATAGAACCCCATTAGAACCCCATTAACCCACATAGAACCCCATTACCTCCATAAACACCCCATAGAACCCCAATAGAACCCCATTAATCCCTATAGAACCCCATTAACACCCCATAGAACCCCGATAGAACCCCATTAACCCCCATAGAATCCCATTAACCCCCATAGAACCCCCATAGAACCCCATTATCACCCCATAGAACACCCATTCCAGCCATAAACCCCCACTCCACCCCATTAAAACCCCATAGAACCCCATTAGAACCCCATTAACCCCCATAGACCCCCATTACCCCCATAAACACCCCCATAGAACCCCAATAGAACCCCATTAATCCCTATAGAACCCCATTAACACCCCATAGAACCCCAATAGAACCCTATTAACCCCCATAGAATCCCATTAACCCCCATAGAACCTCTATAGAACCCCATTATCATCCCATAGAACCCCCATTCCAGCCATAAACCCCCACTCCACCCCATAGAACCCCATTAACCCTCATAGACCCCCATTACCCCCATAAACACCCCATAGAACCCCAATAGAACCCCATTAATCCCTATAGAACCCCATTAACCTCCCATAGAAACCCATTATCACCCCCTAGAACCCCCATTCCCCGATTAACCCCCATTCCCCCAATTAACACCCCATAGAACCCCATTAACCCCACATAGAACCCCATTAACCCCCATAGAACTCCATTATCCCCCCATAGAACCCCCTTAATCCCCCATTCCCCCCATAGAACCCCCTTAACCCCCCATAGAACCCCATTCCCCCCCTCAACCCCCCATTCCCCCATTAACCCCTATAGAACCCCCCCTAGAACCCCATGAACCCCCATTCCCCCACTAGAACCCCATTAGCCCCATAGAACCCCATAGAACCCCCTTAACCCCCCATAGACCCCCAATCCCCCCCATAGACCCCCAATCCCCCCCATAGAACCCCCTTAACCCCCCATAGAACCCCCTTAACCCCCATAGAACCCCCCTTAACCCCCCCTAGACCCCCCTTAACCCCCCCATAAACCCCCATTTCCCCCCCATAGACCCCCATTAACCTCCATAGACCCCCCTTAACCCCCCCATAGACCCCCATTAACCCCCCACAGACCCCCCAATCCCCCCCATAGACCCCCCAAAGCCCCCCACAGACCCCCATTTCCCCCCCATAGACCCCCCAATCCCCCCCATAGACCCCCATTAACCCCCATAGACCCCCCTTAACCCCCCATAGAACCCCATTAACCCCCCCTAGACCCCCCAAACCCCCCCATAGACCCCCCTTAACCCCCCATAGACCCCCCTTAACCCCTCCATAGACCCCCCTTAACCCCTCCATAGACCCCCATTACCCCCCCATAGACCCCTAATCCCCCCCATAGACCCCCATTTCCCCCCCATAGACCCCCATTAACCCCCATAGACCCCCCTTAACCCACCCTAGACCCCCCTTAACCCCCCCATAGACCCCCATTTCCCCCCCATAGACCCCCATTTCCCCCCCATAGACCCCCCAAACCCCCCATAGACCCCCCTTAACCCCCATAGACCCCCCTTAACCCCCCATAGACCCCCCTTAACCCCCCACAGACTCCCATTAACCCCCATAGACCCCCATTTCCCCCCCATAGAACCCCCTTAACCCCCCATAGACCCCCATTAACCCCCCACAGACCCCCATTAACCCCCCACAGACCCCCATTTCCCCCCCACAGACCCCCATTAACCCCCCACAGACCCCCATTTCCCCCCCACAGACCCCCATTTCCCCCCCATAGACCCCCCTTAACCCCCCATAGACCCCCATTAACCCCCCTGAACCCCCATTAACCCCCCACAGACCCCCATTTCCCCCCCATAGACCCCCATTTCCCCCCCACAGACCCCCATTTCCCCCCCCATAGACCCCCATTAACCCCCCCTTCCTCTTCCCCATTATCACCCCGGCCTGTTCCATTGCAGGACCCTATGGGGGGCCCCCCTTTGGGGCTCCCCCGACTCCACACTGCCCTCAGCATCCTAGAGAAGTACGGCAGGAACCTGCTCCAAACCCGGCCCCCCGGCACTGGAGGTGTGTGAGCTACAGCAACCCCGTCTTCAGCTCCACACTGGGCCCCATACAGGTACCTGCGCCCCATAGATCCCCTATGGGGTCACTATGGGGTGCTATGGGGTGCTATAGGTCACTATGGGGCTGGTGCTGTGTGAGCTACAGCAACCCCGTCTTCAGCTCCACACTGGGCCCCATACAGGTACCTGCGCCCTATAGATCCCCTATGGGGTCGCTATGGGGTGCTATGGGTCGCTATGGAGTGCTATGGGTCACTATGGGGGCTATGGGGCTGGTGCTGTGTGAGCTACAGCAACCCCGTCTTCAGCTCCACACTGGGCCCCATACAGGTACCTGCGCCCTATAGATCCCCTATGGGGTCGCTATGGGGTGCTATGGGTCGCTATGGAGTGCTATGGGTCACTATGGGGGCTATGGGGCTGGTGCTGTGTGAGCTACAGCAACCCCGTCTTCAGCTCCACACTGGGCCCCATACAGGTACCTGCGCCCCATAGATCCCCTATGGGGTCACTATGGGGTGCTATGGGTCGCTATGGGGTGCTATGGGTCACTATGGGGCTGGTGCTGTGTGAGCTACAGCAACCCCGTCTTCAGCTCCACACTGGGCCCCATACAGGTACCTGCGCCCCATAGATCCCCTATGGGGTCACTATGGGGTGCTATGGGGTGCTATAGGTCACTATGGGGCTGGTGCTGTGTGAGCTACAGCAACCCCGTCTTCAGGTCCACACTGGGCCCCATACAGGTACCTGCGCCCCATAGATCCCCTATGGGGTCACTATGGGGTGCTATGGGTCACTATGGGGTGCTATGGGTCACTATGGGTGGTGCTGTGTGAGCTACAGCAACCCCCGTCTTCAGCTCCACACTGGGGCCCCATACAGGTACCTGCGCCCCATAGATCCCCTATGGGGTCGCTATGGGGTGCTATGGGTCACTATGGGGTGCTATGGGGGCTATGGGGCTGGTGCTGTGTGAGCTACAGCAACCCCGTCTTCAGCTCCACACTGGGCCCCATACAGGTACCTGCGCCCCATAGATCCCCTATGGGGTCGCTATGGGGGCTATGGGTCACTATGGGGTGCTATGGGGGCTATGGGGCCGGTGCTGTGTGAGCTACAGCAACCCTGTCTTCAGCTCCACACTGGGCCCCATACAGGTACCTGCGCCCCATAGATCCCCTATGGGGTCGCTATGGGGTGCTATGGGGGCTATGGGGCTGGTGCTGTGTGAGCTACAGCAACCCCGTCTTCAGCTCCACACTGGGCCCCATACAGGTACCTGCGCCCCATAGATCCCCTATGGGGTCGCTATGGGGTGCTATGGGTCACTATGGGGTGCTATGGGTCACTATGGGGGCTATGGGTCACTATGGGGTGCTATGGGTCACTATGGGGGCTATGGGGCTGGTGCTGTGTGAGCTACAGCAACCCCGTCTTCAGCTCCACACTGGGCCCCATACAGGTAACCTGCGCCCATAGATCCCCTATGGGGTCACTATGGGGTGCTATGGGTCGCTATGGGGTGCTATGGGGGCTATGGGGCTGGTGCTGTGTGAGCTACAGCAACCCCGTCTTCAGCTCCACACTGGGCCCCATACAGGTACCTGCGCCCCATAGATCCCCTATGGGGTCGCTATGGGGTGCTATGGGTCACTATGGGTCACTCTGGGGGCTATGGGGCTGGTGCTGTGTGAGCTACAGCAACCCCGTCTTCAGCTCCACACTGGGCCCCATACAGGTACCTGCGCCCCATAGATCCCCTATGGGGTCGCTATGGGGTGCTATGGGTCACTATAGGGTGCTATGGGGTGCTATGGGTCACTATGGGGCTGGTGCTGTGTGAGCTACAGCAACCCCGTCTTCAGCTCCACACTGGGCCCCATACAGGTACCTGCGCCCCATAGATCCCCTATGGGGTCACTGTGGGGTGCTATGGGTCGCTATGGGGTGCTATGGGTCACTATGGGCTGGTGCTGTGTGAGCTACAGCAACCCCGTCTTCAGGTCCACACTGGGCCCCATACAGGTACCTGCGCCCCATAGATCCCCTATGGGGTCACTATGGGGTGCTATGGGTCACTATGGGGTGCTATGGGTCACTATGGGGCTGGTGCTGTGTGAGCTACAGCAACCCCGTCTTCAGCTCCACACTGGGCCCCATACAGGTACCTGCGCCCCATAGATCCCCTATGGGGTCACTATGGGGTGCTATGGGTCACTATGGGGTGCTGTGGGTCACTATGGGCTGGTGCTGTGTGAGCTACAGCAACCCCGTCTTCAGCTCCACACTGGGCCCCATACAGGTACCTGCGCCCCATAGATCCCCTATGGGGTCACTATGGGGTGCTATGGGTCACTATGGGGTGCTATGGGTCACTATGGGGCTGGTGCTGTGTGAGCTACAGCAACCCCGTCTTCAGCTCCACACTGGGCCCCATACAGGTACCTGCGCCCCATAGATCCCCTATGGGGTCACTGTGGGGTGCTATGGGTCACTATGGGGGCTAAGGGGCTGGTGCTGTGTGAGCTACAGCAACCCCGTCTTCAGCTCCACACTGGGCCCCATACAGGTACCTGCGCCCCATAGATCCCCTATGGGGTCACTATGGGGTGCTATGGGTCGCTATGGGGTGCTATGGGTCACTATGGGGCTGGTGCTGTGTGAGCTACAGCAACCCCGTCTTCAGCTCCACACTGGGCCCCATACAGGTACCTGCGCCCCATAGATCCCCTATGGGGTCGCTATGGGGTGCTATGGGTCACTATGGGGTGCTATGGGTCACTATGGGGTGCTATGGGTCACTATGGGGGCTATGGGGCTGGTGCTGTGTGAGCTACAGCAACCCCGTCTTCAGCTCCACACTGGGCCCCATACAGGTACCTGCGCCCCATAGATCCCCTATGGGGTCGCTATGGGGTGCTATGGGTCGCTGTGGGGTGCTATGGGTCACTATGGGGGCTATGGTCACTATGGGGTGCTATGGGGTGCTATGGGTCACTATGGGGCTGGTGCTGTGTGAGCTACAGCAACCCCGTCTTCAGCTCCACACTGGGCCCCATACAGGTACCTGCGCCCCATAGATCCCCTATGGGGTCACTATGGGGTGCTATGGGTCACTATGGGGTGCTATGGGTCACTATGGGGCTGGTGCTGTGTGAGCTACAGCAACCCCGTCTTCAGCTCCACACTGGGCCCCATACAGGTACCTGCGCCCCATAGATCCCCTATGGGGTCACTATGGGGTGCTATGGGTCACTATGGGGTGCTATGGGTCACTATGGGGCTGGTGCTGTGTGAGCTACAGCAACCCCGTCTTCAGCTCCACACTGGGCCCCATACAGGTACCTGCGCCCCATAGATCCCCTATGGGGTCGCTATGGGGTGCTATGGGTCACTATGGGGTGCTATGGGTCACTATGGGGCTGGTGCTGTGTGAGCTACAGCAACCCTGTCTTCAGCTCCACACTGGGCCCCATACAGGTACCTGCGCCCCATAGATCCCTATGGGGTCACTATGGGGTGCTATGGGTCACTATGGGGTGCTATGGGTCGCTATGGGGTGCTATGGGTCACTATGGGGTGCTATGGGTCGCTATGGGGTCCTGTTGGGTTCTATGGGGTTCTATAGACCCCTATAGGGCACCTATAGACCCCCATAGGATCCCCATGGTACCCCTATAGCACCCCATAGGACCCCAAAGAACCCCATAGGCCCCCCATAGGCCCACCATAGCCCCCCATATCCCCCCATAACCCCCCCATAACCCCCCCATATCCCCCATAGCCCCCCATATCCCCCCCATAACCCCCCCATAACCACCCCATATCCCCCCCATATCCCCCCATAACCACTCCATAGCAGCCCATAGTGACCCATAGCACCCCATAGTGACCCATAGCACCCCATAGTGACCCCATAGGGGTCATAACCCCCCCATAACCCCCCCATATCCCCCCCATAGGGGGTGACCCCATAGGGGGTCATAACCCACCCCATAACCCCCCCATATCCCCCCCATATCCCCCCCATATCCCCCCCATATCCCCCCATAACCCCCCCATATCCCCCCATATCCCCCCATATCCCCCCATAACCACCCCATAGCAGCCCCATAGCCACCCCATATCCCCCCCATAACCCCCCCATATCCCCCCATATCCCCCCATAACCCCCCCATATCCCCCATATCCCCCCATAACCCCCCCATATCCCCCCACATCCCCCCATAACCCCCCCATATCCCCCCATAACCACCCCATAACCACCCCATAACCACCCCATAACCACCCCATAGCAGCCCCATTGCCACCCCATAGCAGCCCCATTGCCACCCCATAACCACCCCATAGCAGCCCCATTGAGCCCCCTATGTTTGCCCTAGGGGGCCCGGGAGGTGCTGATGCTTTTGGGGTACACGGCCGAGGTGGGGCCGGGGCTGAGCTTCCCGCCGGGGGTCCCAGCCCCACACGGGCCCCACGTCGCCGCCGTCACCGCGGACGTCTTGGTGCTGAGGAGGGAGCTGGAGCTGGTGCTGGCGGTGAGCTATGGGGCGGCTATGGGGTGCTATGGGGCGGCTATGGGGTGGCTATGGGGGGGATATGGGGTGCTATGGGGCGGCTATGGGGTGGCTATGGGGGGGATATGGGGTGGCTATGGGGGGGAATATGGGGTGCTATGGGGGGGCTATGGGGGGGTTATGGGGGGGATATGGGGGGGATATGGGGTGCTATGGGGGGGTTATGGGGGGGATATGGGGGGGTTATGGGGTGGCTATGGGGGGCTATGGGGCGGCTATGGGGGATTATGGGGTGGCTATGGGGGGGTTATGGGAGGGATATGGGGGGGTTATGGGGTGGCTATGGGGTGCTATGGGGGGCTATGGGGTGGCTATGGGGCTGTGGGGGGCTATGGGGCTGTGGGGGGCTATGGGGCTATAGGGGGTAGTGGGGTAATGGGGCTATAGGGGGCAATGGGGCTATGGGGGCAATGGGGGGGCTGTTAGAGGCTATGGGGCTATGGGGGGCAATGGGGCTATAGGGGGTTATGGGGGGCTATGGGGGGCTATGGGGTCAATGGGGGGATATGGAGCTATGGGGGGCTATGGGGTTATGGGGGGGCAATGGGGCTATGGGGGGTGATGGGGTAATGTGGGTCAATGTGGGTCAGTGTGGGTCAATGTGTGGGTCAATGTGTGGGTCAATGTGGGTCAGTGTGGGTCAATGTGGGTCAATGTGGGTCAATGTGTGGGGTCAGTGTGGGTCAATGGATGTCAATGTGTGGGTCAATGTGGGTCTGTGTAGGTCAATGTGTGGGTCAATGTGGGTCAATGTGTGGGTCAATGTGTGGGTCACTGTGTGTCAATGTGGGTCAATGTGTGGGTCAATGTGGGTCAATGTGTGGGTCAACGTGGGTCAATGTGTGGGTCACTGTGGGTCAGTGTGGGTCAATGGGGGTCACTGTGGGTCAATGTGGGTCAATGTGGGTCAATGTGTGGGTCAAGGGATGTCAATGTGTGGGTCAATGTGGGTCAGTGTGGGTCAATGTGGGTCAATGTGGGTCAGTGTGTGGGTCAATGTGGGTCACTGTGGGTCAATGTGGGTCAGTGTGTGGGTCAATGTGGGTCAATGTGGCTCAATGTGGGTCAGTGTGGGTCAATGTGGGTCAATGTGTGGGTCAATGTGTGGGTCAGTGTGGGTCAATGTGGGTCAATGTGTGGGTCAATGTGGGTCAATGTGGGTCAATGTGTGGGTCAATGTGTGTCAATGTGGGTCAATGTGTGGGTCAATGTGGGTCAATGTGTGGGTCCATGTGTGTCAATGTGGGTCACTGTGGGTCAATGTGGGTCAATGTGTGGGTCACTGTAGGTCAATGTGGGTCAGTGTGGGTCAATGTGGGTCAATGTGGGTCAGTGTGGGTTAATGTGTGGGTCAATGTGTGGGTCAATGTGGGTCAATGGGTCAATGTGTGGGTCAGTGTGGGTCACTGTGGGTCAATGTGTGGGTCAATGTGGGTCAATGTGGGTCAATGTGTGGGTCACTGTGGGTCAGTGTGGGTCAATGTGGTCAATGTGGGTCACTGTGGGTCAATGTGTGTCAATGTGTGGGTCAATGTGTGGGTCAATGTGGGTCACTGTGGGTCACTGTAGGTCAATGTGGGTCAATGTGGGTCAATGTGGGTCAATGTGGGTCAGTGTGGGTCAATGTGGGTCAATGTGTGGGTCAATGTGGGTCAATGTGGGTCAATGTGTGGGTCAATGTGGGTCAATGTGTGGGTCAGTGTGGGTCAATGTGGGTCAGTGTGGGTCAGTGTGGGTCAATGTGGGTCAATGTGTGGGTCAATGTGGGTCAATGTGGGTCAATGTGTGGGTCAGTGTGGGTCAATGTGGGTCAATGTGGGTCAGTGTGGGTCAGTGTGGGTCAATGTGGGTCAATGTGGGTCAGTGTGGGTCAATGTGGGTCAATGTGGGTCAATGTGTGGGTCAATGTGTGGGTCAATGTGGGTCAATGTGTGGGTCAGTGTGGGTCAATGTGGGTCAATGTGGGTATGTGTGGGTCAATGTGTGGGTCAATGTGGGTCAATGTGGGTCAATGTGGCTCAATGTGTGTCAATGTGTGGTCAATGTGGGTCAATGTGGGTTATATGTGTGGTCAATGTGTGGGTCAATGTGGGTCAATGTGGCTCAATGTGTGTCAATGTGTGGGTCAGTGTGGGTCAATGTGGGTCAATGTGGGTCAGTGTGGGTCAATGTGGGGTCAATTGTGGGTCAATGTGTGGGTCAGTGTGGGTCAATGTGGGTCAATGTGGGTATGTGTGGTCAATGTGTGGGTCAATGTGGGTCAATGTGGGTCAATGTGGGTCAGTGTGGGTCAATGTGTGGGTCAATGTGGGTCAATGTGTGGGTCAGCGTGGGTCAATGTGGGTCAATGTGTGGGTCAATGTGTGGGTCAATGTGGGTCAATGTGGGTCAATGTGTGGGTCAATGTGGGTCAATGTGTCTCAATGTGGGTCAATGTGTCTCAATGTGGGTCAATGTGGCTCAATGTGGGTCAATGTGGGTCAATGTGGCTCAATGTGGGTCAATGTGGGTCAATGTGTGGGTCAATGTGGCTCAATGTGGGTCAATGTGTGGGTCAATGTGGGTCAATGTGTGGGTCAATGTGGGTCAATGTGGGGCTCAGCTTCCCCCTTTCCCCCCCAGAACCAGCACCCGAACCCCCACTTCCTCACTGACATCCTAAAGGGGGCGAAGAGGTGAGGATGAACTGGTTTGAACTGGTTTGAACTGGTTTGAACTGGTTTATACTGGTTTAAACTGGTTTGGACTGGTTTGAACTGGTTTGGACTGGTTTATACTGGTTTGAACTGGTTTATACTGGTTTATACTGGTTTGAACTGGTTTGAACTGGTTTATACTGGTTTGAACTGGTTTGAACTGGTTTGGACTGGTTTGAACTGGTTTGAACTGGTTTGGACTGGTTTGAACTGGTTTGAACTGGTTTGGACTGGGTTTGAACTGGTTTGAACTGGTTTATACTGGTTTAAACTGGTTTGGACTGGTTTGAACTGGTTTGGACTGGTTTATACTGGTTTGAACTGGTTTATACTGGTTTATACTGGTTTGAACTGGTTTGAACTGGTTTATACTGGTTTGAACTGGTTTGAACTGGTTTATACTGGTTTGAACTGGTTTGAACTGGTTTGGACTGGTTGAACTGGTTTGAACTGGTTTGAACTGGTTTGAACTGGTTTGAACTGGTTTATACTGGTTTGAACTGGTTTGAACTGGTTTGAACTGGTTTGAACTGGTTGAACTGGTTTGGACTGGTTTGGACTGGTTTGGACTGGTTTGGACTGGTTTATACTGGTTTGAACTGGTTTGAACTGGTTTATACTGGTTTATACTGGTTTGAACTGGTTTGAACTGGTTTGGACTGGTTTGAACTGGTTTGAACTGGTTTATACTGGTTTATACTGGTGTATACTGGTTTGAACTGGTTTGTACTGGTTTGAACTGGTTTGAACTGGTTTGGACTGGTTTGAACTGGTTTGAACTGGTTTGGACTGGTTTGAACTGGTTTGAACTGGTTTATACTGGTTTGAACTGGTTTGAACTGGTTTGAACTGGTTTATACTGGTTTATACTGGGGGTCTCCTTTCCCCATCACAGGAGGACCTGGTCACTGATGCAATGCCCATAGTGGAGCGTGATGGACCTATAGGTGTGGGGTCTGTGGGGCTCTATGGGGTGTCTATGGGGTCTCTATGGGGCTCTGTGGGGTCTCTATGGGGTCTCTATGGGGCTCTATGGGGTCTCTATGGGTCTCTGGGGTTTGTTTGGGTCTCTGTGGGGTCTCTATGGGGTTCTATGGGGCTCTATGGGGGTCTCTATGGGTCTCTCTGTGGGGTCTCTATGGGTCTCTATGGGGTTTGTTTGGGTCTCTATGGGGTTCTATGGGGCTCTATGGGGGTCTCTATGGGGCTCTATGGGTCTCTATGGGGTCTCTATGGGTCTCTATAGGGTCTCTATGGGTCTCTGGGGTCCCTATGGGTACTATGGGTCTCTATGGGGTTCTGTGGGTCTCTATGGGTCTCTATGGGATCTCTGTGGGTCTCTATGGGGTCGCTATGGGTCTCTATGGGGTCTCTATGGGTCTCTGGGATCTCTGTGGGTCTCTATGGGTCTCTATGGGTCCCTATGGGTCTCTATGTGTCTCTATGGATCTCTGTGGGTCCCTATGGGTCTCTATGGGATCTCTGTGGGTCTCTATGGGTCTCTATGGGTCCCTATGGGTCTCTATGGGGTCTCTATGGGGTCTCTATGGGTCTCTATGGGGTCTCTATGGTCTCTATGGGTCCCTATGGTCCCTATACAGTCCCTGATGCTGTGCTTCCCTATAGGGGACCCCCCCTCCAGATGCGATCGGCCGCGCACCCCCCCCTCCAGGTAACATGGAACAGCCCAGCTGCCCCATAGAGCCCCATAGAGCCCCATAGAGAACCATAGAGCCCCATAGAGCCCCATAGAGCCCCATAGAGCCCCATAGAGCCCCATAGAGCCCCATAGAGAACCATAGAGCCCCATAGAGCCCCATAGAGCCCCATAGAGCCCCATAGAGACCCATAGAGAACCATAGAGCCCCATAGAGAACCATAGAGAACCATAGAGCCCCATAGAGAACCATAGAGCCCCATAGAGACCCATAGAGCCCCATAGAGAACCATAGAGCCCCATAGGCACCCCATAGATACTTCCATAGACTCTAGAGGCGCGTATAGACCCCATAACCCCCCACAGACACCCCATGGAGCCCCATAGAAACCCCATAGACACCCATGGGCACCCCATAGCCCCCCATAGACACCCCATAGACCCCCATAGTCACCCCATACAGACCCCCATAGACGCCCCATAGAAACCCCATAGACCCCCATAGACACCCCATAGCCCCCCATAGAGACCCATACAGACCCCTATAGCCCCCCCATAGGACCCCCATAGACACCCATAGACACCCATAGGCCCCCATAGACACCCCATAGCTCCCCATAGACACCCCATAGCCCCCCATAGACACCCCATACAGACCCCTATAGCCCCCCATAGACCCCCATGGTCACCCCATAGAGCCCCATAGACACCCATAGGCCCCCATAGACACCTGTATCTCCCCATAGACCCCATAGACACCCCATAGACCCCATAGCCCCATAGACCCCCCATAGACCCCCCATAGACCCCCATAGAGCCCTATAGAAACCCCATAGACCCCATAGACACCCCATCGACCCCATAGTCACCCCATACAGACCCCTATAGCCCCCCATAGACCCCCATAGACACCCCATAGACACCCTATAGACCCCCATAGACCCCCATAGCCCCCCCATAGCCCCCCATAGACACCCCATAGACACCCTACAGACCCCCATAGACACCCATAGGCCCCCATAGACACCTGTATCTCCCTATAGACCCCCATAGCCCCCCATAGTCCCCCCATACAGACCCCTATAGCCCCCCCATAACCCCCTTTACGTTATATGGGGGGGGCCCTATGGGTCCTTCAACACCTTCCCCCCCCCCCCAGCTCCAGCTCCTCTCCCCATGCCCCCCCCCCGCCGCTATGGGGCAGCCCCATAGCGCTGTGGGGCAGCCCCATAGCGCTATGGGGCAGGAGGAGGAAGGAGGGGGCTGGGCCTGCGCTTCCTGCACCTTCCTCAACCCCGACCCCAGTGTTCTCTGTGGGGTGTGCGAGCGCCCCCGCCTGGCCCGGAGGCCTCCGCCGCAGGTGTCTATGGGGCCGGAAGGGGGGGGGGCGGCCCTATAGGGGTTCAATGGGGTTTCAATGGGGTTAATGGGGTCCTAATGGGGGTTAATGGGGTTTAATGGGGGTTAATGGGGTTTCAATGGGGGTTAATGGGGTCTAAAGGGGTTTAATGGGGTTCTAATGGCGGTTAATGGGGTTCTAATGGGGGTTAATGGGGTCTAAAGGGGTTTAATGGGGTTCTAATGGGGTTTATGGGGTCTAAAGGGGTTTAATGGGGTTTAATGGGGTTAATGGGGTTTCAATGGGGGGTTAATGGGGTCTAAAGGGGGTTAATGGGGTCCCAATGGGGGTTAATGGGGTCCCAATGGGGGTTAATGGGGTCTAAAGGGGTTTAATGGGGTTCTAATGAGGGTTAATGGGGTCCTAATGGGGGTTAATGGGGTCTAAAGGGGGTTTAATGGGGTTCTAATGGGGGTTAATGGGGTTTCAGTGGGGGTTAATGGGGTCTAAAGGGGTTTAATGGGGTTCTAATGGGGGTTAATGGGGTCCTAATGGGGGTTAATGGGGTCTAAAGGGGGTTTAATGGGGTTCTAATGGGGGTTAATGGGGTCCTAATGGGGGTTAATGGGGTCTAAAGGGGGTTTAATGGGGTCTTAATGGGGGTTAATGGGATCCAATGGGGTTTAATGGGGTCCTAATGGGGTCTAAAGGGGGTTTAATAGGGTCTCAATGGGGGTTAATGAGGTCCAAATGGGTTTAATGGGGAAATGGGGGTTAATGGGGTCCCAATGGAGGTTAATGGGTCCTAATGGGGGTTAATGGGGTCCCCAAAGGGATTTAATGGGGTCCCAGTGGGGTTTAATTGGGTCTCAATGGGGGTTAATGGGGTCTCAATGGGGGTTAATGGGGTCTCAATGGGGGTTAATGGGGTCCTAATGGGGGTTAATGGCATCTAATGGGGTTTAGTGAGGTCCCAGTGGGGTTTAATGGGGTCTAAAGGGGGCTTGGGGGGTCCCAATGTTGTTTAATGGGGTCTAAAGGGGATTTGGGGTCCTAATGGGGTTTAATGGGGTCTAAAGGGGGTTTAGGGGGGTCCCAATGGGGTTTAGGGTGGTCCCAATGGGGTTTAATGGGGTCCCAGTGGGGTTTAATGGGGTCCCAATAGGTTTCAATGGGTTCTAAAGGGGGGTTTGGGGTCTGCCCCCCATTAACCCCCCCCATTTCCCCCCCTTCTATAGGGCTGGTCCTGCCCCCATTGCACCTACTTCAACCCAGGCCCCGGCCCCACATGTGCCCTCTGCCGGCAGCACATGGGCACCCCCTTGGCCCCGCCCCCTGAGCCCCACGTGATGCCTCCCAAAGCCCCGCCCCCTTCCCCTCCGCCCCCCAAGGCCCCTCCCACCCTCGACGCTGACCAATGGCGGCAGAGGCGCCTGGACCAAGATGGCCGCCGCATGGTCGCCATCCTGCGGGTGAGTTGGGGGGCCGCTATAGGGCAGGGACCCCCCCCCCCCCCCATTGGGCCCTATAGGGGCTCCCTATTGGTCCCTATGGGGCTGGGGGGGGTATTGGGGTGCTATAGGGGTCTATGGGGTGGCATTGGGGGTCTATGTGGTGGTATTGGGGGTCTATGGGGCGGTATTGGGGGTCTCTGGGGCGGTATTGGGGGTCTATGGGGCGGTATTGGGGGTCTATGGGGCGGTATTGGGGGTCTATGGGGCGGCATTGGGGGTCTATGGGGCGGTATTGGGGGGTCTATGGGGTGGTATTGGGGGTCTATGGGGCGGCATTGGGGGTCTATGGGGCGGTATTGGGGGTCTATGGGGCGGTATTGGGGGTCTGTGGGGCGGTATTGGGGGTCTATGGGGCGGTATTCGGGGTCTATGGGGCGGTATTGGGGGTCTATGGGGCGGCATTGGGGGTCTATGGGGTGACATTGGGGGTCTATGGGGTGGTATTGGGGATCTATGGGGTGGTATTGGGGGTCTATGGGGCGGCATTGGGGGTCTATGGGGCAGTATTGGGGGTCTATGGGGCGGCATTGGGGGTCTATGGGGCGGCATTGGGGGTCTATGGGGCGGTATTGGGGGTCTATGGGGCGGCATTGGGGGTCTATGGGGTGGTATTGGGGGTCTATGGGGCGGTATTGGGGGTCTATGGGGTGTCTATGGGGGTCTATGCGGCGGCATTGGGGGTCTATGGGGTGTCTATGGGGGTCTATGGGGCGGTATTGGGGGTCTATGGGGCGGCATTGGGGTCTATGGGGCGGTATTGGGGGTCTATGGGGTGGTATTGGGGATCTATGGGGTGGTATTGGGGGTCTATGGGGCGGATGTGGGGGGGCTATGGGGGGGACAAGGGGTCTATGGGGAGCTATGGGGATCCTATGGGGCAATAGGGGTGCCCTATGGGGTGGTATTGGGGTTCTCTGTGTGGCTTATGGGTTTCTATGGGGCGTTATGGGTCGCTGTGGGTCTCTATGGGATATCTGTGGGTCTCTGTGGGGTCGCTATGGGATCTCTGTGGGTCTCTATGGTTCTTGATGAGATCTTTGTGGGTCTCTATGGGTCTCTGTGGGATCTCTGTGGGTCTCTATGGGTCTCTGTTGGTTCTGTGGGGTCTCTGTGGGTCCCTGTGTGTCTCTATGGGTCCCTATGGGGTCTCTATGGCTCTCAAGGGGTCCTTATGGGTCTCTATGGGGTCTCTGTGGGTCCGTATGGGTCTCTATGGGTCTCTATGGGTCTCTATGGGTCTCTATGGGGTCTCTATTGGATTCTCTATGGGTCTCTGGAGTCCCTCTGGGGTCCCTATGGGTCTTTATGGGTCTCTATGGGGTCTCTATGGGTCCCTATGGGGTCTCTGTGGCTTTCAGTGGGTCCCTATGGGGTCCCTATGGTTCCCTGTGGGGTCTCTATGGGTCTGTGTGGGTCCCTATGGGGTCTCTATGGCTTCCTATGGGTTCCCTGTGGGTCTCTGTGGGGTCTCTATGGGGTTCCTATGGGTCCATATGGGTGTCTATGAGGTCTTTATGGGGGTCTGTGGGGTCTCTATGGGCCCCTATGGGTCTCTATGGGTCTTTATGGGTCCCTATGGGTCTCTATGGGTCTCTATGGGTCCCTATGTGTCTCTATGGGTCCCTATGTGTCTCTATGGGTCTCTATGGGTTCCTATGGGTCTCTATGGATCCCTATGACTCCCTATGGGTCTCTATGAGTCCCTATGGGTCTCTATGGGTCTCTATGTGTCCCTATGGCTCCCTATGGGTCTCTATGGGTCTCTATGGGTCCCTATGGGTCAATATGGGTCCCTATGGGTCCCTATGACTCCCTATGGGTCTCTATGGCTCCCTATGGGTCCCTATGGGTCCCTATGACTCCCTATGGGTCTCTATGGCTCCCTATGGGTCCCTATGGGTCCCTATGGGTCCCTATGGCTCCCTATGGGTCCCTATGGGTCCCTATGTGTTTCTATGGGTCCCTATGACTCCCTATATGTCCCTGTCTCTCTCCCCCCAGGCCGCCGAGCTCGGGGGCTCCCCTTTCCCTTTCCCCCCCCCGGCCTCCCCCCGGGTTCTGTGGGTCCTGGCGGCCGCCGTGGGGCTCCGTGGGGCGCAGGAGCCCGGGGGTCCCTTGGGGGCCCTGTCCCTGCGGGAGGCGGCGTGGGGCTGGGCCCGCGCTATGGGGCAGGCGGAGGGGGCCCTGCGGGCATGCCTGGGGCGCCGCCGGAAGCAGGTGGGAGGGGCTAAGGGGCGGCCAATGGGGGAGAAGGGGTGGGGTTAAGGGGGGGTCCATATAAGGCAAAAGGGGAGGGGCTAATGGGCGGCCAATGAGGGAGAAGGGGAGGGGCTAAGGGGGGAATGAGTGTGCGTATAAGGGAGGAGGGGAGGGGCTAATGGGCAGCCATGAGGGAGAAGGGAAGGGGCTAAGGGAGGGGGGGGGAAAGGGTGTCCATATAAGGGAGAAGGGGAGGGGCTATGGGGCGGCCAATGAAGGAGAAGGGAGTGGGAATGGGTGTCCATATAAGGCAAAAAGGGAGGGGCTAATGGGCGGCCAATGGGGGAGAAGGGGAGGGGCTAATGGCGGGGGGGGAATGGGTGTCCATATAAGGGAGAAGGGGAGGGGCTAAGGGGCGGCCAATGAGGGAGAAGGGGGGGGGAAATGGGTGTCCATATAAGGCAAAGGGGAGGGGCTAAGGGGCGGCCAATGAGGGAGAAGGGGAGGGGCTAAGGGGGGGGGATGGGTGTCCATATAAAGGGAGAAGGGGAGGGGCTAAGGGGCAGCCAATGAGGGAGAAGGGGGGGGGGGAATGGGTGTCCATATAAGGCAAAAGGAGAGGGGCTAATGGGTAGCTGATGAGGGAGAATTGGAGGGGTCAATGGGCAGCCAATGAGGGAGAAGGGGAGGGGCTAAGGGGGGGAATGGGTGTCCATATAAGGGAGAAGGGGAGGGGCTAAGGGCCGGCCAATGGGGGAGAAGGGGTGGGGCTAAGGGGGAATGGGTGTCCATGTAAGGGAGAAGGGGAGGGGCTCATGGGCAGCCAATGAGAGAAAAGGGGCGTGGCTCCTCGCTGTCCATATAAGGGAAAGGGGCGTGTCTCCTGGGTCTCCATATAAGGGAAGGGGGCGTGGCTAAGGGCAGAAGGGCGTTGCTTCTGTCCATATAAGGGAAAGGGGCATGGTCTTTGGTATCCATATAAGGGGAAAAAGGCATAACTAAGGGCAGAGGAGCGCGGCTCTTGGGTATCCATATAAGGAAAAGGGGCGTGTCTCCTGGGTCTCCATATAAGGTCAAAAGGGGGGCAGAGCTAAGAGCAGAGGGGCGTGGCTCCTGGGTATCCATATAAGGTCAAAAGGGGGGCAGAGCTAAGGGCAGAGGGGCGTGGCTCCTGGGTATCCATATAAGGAAAAGGGGCGTGTCTCCTGGGTATCCATATAAGGTCAAAAGGGGGGCAGAGCTAAGGGCAGAGGGGCGTGGCTCCTGGGTATCCATATAAGGTCAAAAGGGGGGCAGAGCTAAGGGCAGAGGGGCGTGTCTCCTGGGTATCCATATAAGGAAAAGGGGCGTGTCTCCTGGGTATCCATATAAGGTCAAAAGGGGGGCAGAGCTAAGGGCAGAGGGGGCGTGTCTCTTGGGTATCCATATAAGGGAAAGGGGCGTGTCTCCTGGGTATCCATATAAGGTCAAAAGGGGGGCAGAGCTAAGTGCAGAGGGGCGTGTCTCCTGGGTATCCATATAAGGTCAAAAGGGGGGCAGAGCTAAGGGCAGAGGGGCGTGGCTCCTGGGTATCCATATAAGGTCAAAAGGGGGGCAGAGCTAAGGGCAGAGGGGCGTGTCTCCTGGGTATCCATATAAGGTCAAAAGGGGGGCAGAGCTAAGGGCAGAGGGGCGTGGCTCCTGGGTATCCATATACGGGAAAGGGGCGTGGCTCCTGGGTATCCATATAAGGTCAAAAGGGGGGCAGAGCTAAGGGCAGAGGGGCGTGTCTCCTGGGTATCCATATAAGGGAAAGGGGCGTGGCTCTTGGGTATCCATATAAGGTCAAAAGGGGGGCAGAGCTAAGGGAAAGGGGCGTGTCTCCTGGGTATCCATATAAGGTCAAAAGGGGGGCAGAGCTAAGGGCAGATGGGCGTGGCTTCTGGGTATCCATATAAGGTCAAAAGGGGGGCAGAGCTAAGGGCAGAGGGGCGTGGCTCTTGGGCATCCATATAAGGAAAAGGGGCGTGGCTCTTGGGTATCCATATAAGGTCAAAAGGGGGGCAGAGCTAAGGGCAGAGGGGCGTGTCTCCTGGGTATCCATATAAGGGAAAGGGGCGTGGCTCCTGGGTATCCATATAAGGTCAAAAGGGGGGCAGAGCTAAGGGCAGAGGGGCGTGTCTCCTGGGTATCCATATAAGGTCAAAAGGGGGGCAGAGCTAAGTGCAGAGGGCCGTGTCTCCTGGGTATCCATATAAGGTCAAAAGGGGGGCAGAGCTAAGTGCAGAGGGGCGTGTCTCCTGGGTATCCATATAAGGCAAAGGGGCGTGGTTAAGCTCCCCAAAGGGGGCGTGGCTAATACACCCCCCCCATCTCCACGCGCAGCTCCGGGCCTTGTCCTCCCTGGGCTATGGGGCGCGGGCGGCGTCGGCGCGGGCCCTATGGGAGGCCGGGGGCGATGTGGGGCAGGCCCTGGCCCTATTGCAGGCCCCACGGCTCCGATCCTTCCTGCTCCGCCTCTGGGATGCGCGGAGCCCCCCCATGGACTTCGAACAGCCCGAGCAGCACGTGAGGATGTGGGGGGAGATGGGGGGCAATGGGGGGAGATGGGGGGCAATGGGAGTCAATGGGGGTCAATGGGAGTCAATGGGGGTGATGGGGATCAATGGGGGTCAATGGAATCAATGGGGGGCAATGGGAGTCAATGGGGAGCAATGGGGGGCGATGGGGGTCAATGGGAGTCAATGGGGATCAATGGAATCAATGGGGGGCAATGGGAGTCAATGGGGAGCAATGGGGGGCGATGGGGGTCAATGGGGGTCAATGGGGGGCAATGGGGGGCAATGGGGAGCAATGGAATCAATGGGGGGCGATGGGAGTCAATGGGGGTCAATAGGAGTCAATGTGGGTCAATGGGGTCAATGGAATCAATGGGAGTCAATGGGGATCAATGGGAGGCAATGGGGGGCAATAGGGGTCAATAGGAGTCAATGGGAGTCAATGGGGGTCAATGGGAGTCAATGGGAGTCAATGGGGGGGTGATGGGAGTCAATGGGGATCAATGGGAGGCAATGGGGGGCAATGGGGAGCAATGGAATCAATGGGAGGCGATGGGAGTCAATGGGGGTCAATAGGAGTCAATGTGGGTCAATGGGGTCAATGGAATCAATGGGAGTCAGTGGGGATCAATGGGAGGCAATGGGGGGCAATGGGATCAATGGGGATCAATGGGAGGCAATGGGGGGCAATGGGATCAATGGGGATCAATGGGGGTCAATGGAATCAATGGGGGTCAATGGGAGTCAATGGGGATCAATGGGAGGCAATGGGGGGCAATGGGGAGCAATGGAATCAATGGGGGCAATGGGGATCAATGGGGATCAATGGGGGGCAATGGGGAGCAATGGAATCAATGGGAGGCAATGGGATCAGTGGGGGTCAATGGGGGTTGATGGGGGGCAATGGGGGTCAAGGGGATCAATGGGGTGATGGGAGTCAATGGGCAATGGGGGTCAAGGGGGAGTCAATGGGGGGCAATGGGGGTCAATGGAATCTATGGGGGTCAGTTGACAATGGGGATCAATGGGGGTGATGGGGATCAATGGGAGTCAATGGGGGTCAATGGGAGGCAATGGGGAGCAATGGAATCAATGGGGATCAATGGGGGTCAATGGAATCAATGGGGGACAATGGGATCAGTGGGGGTCAATGGGGGTTGATGGGGGGCAATGGGGGTCAAGGGGATCAATGGGGGTCAATGGGAGTCAATGGGGGTCAATGGGGTCAATGGAATCAATGGGGGTCAATGGGGGGGTGATGGGAGTCAATGGGGATCAATGGGAGGCAATGGGGGACAATGGGTGCCAATGGAATCAATGGGGGGCGATGGGGGTCAATGGGGGTCAATAGGAGTCAATGTGGGTCAATGGGGTCAATGGAATCAATGGGGTTCAGTGGGAGTCAATGGGGGTCAATGGAATCAATGGGGGGCAATGGGGGGCAATGGAATCAATGGGGGTTGATGGGGGGTGATGGTGGTCAATGCGATCAATGAGGGAAATGGGGTCAGTGGGGGTCAATGGGAGGCAATGGGGGTCAATAGGGGCAGGTGGGGGGCAATAGGATCAATGGGGGGCAATGGGTTCAGTGGGGGTCAATGGGGGTTGATGGGCGGCAGTGGGGGTCAAGGGGATCAATGGGGGTCAATGGGAGTCAATGGGGGCAATGGGGGTCAATGGAATCAATGGGGGGCAATGGGAGTCAATGGGGATCAATGGGAGGCAATGGGGGGCAATGGGGAGCAATGGAATCAATGGGGATCAATGGGGGTCAATGGAATCAATGGGAGGCAATGGGATCAGTGGGGGTCAATGGGGGTTGATGGGGGGCAATGGGGGTCAAGGGGATCAATGGGGGTGATGGGAGTCAATGGGCGATGGGGGTCAATGGGAGTCAGTGGGGGTCAATGGGGGGCTATGGGATCAATGGGAGTCAATGGGGCTCAATGGGGGGCAATGGGGGGTGATGGCGGTCAATGGGATCAATGGGGGTCAATGGGATCAATGGGGGTCAATGGGGCTCAATGGGGAGCAATGGGGGGCGATGGGAGTCAGTGGGGGGCAATAGGGGGCAGTGGGGGTCAATGTGGGTCACTGGGGATCAATGGGGGCAGTGGGGGGTGATGGGCAATGGGCAATGGAATCAATGGGAGTTGATGGGGGTCAGTGTGGGTCAATGTGGGTCAATGTGGGTCAATGTGTGGGTCAATGTGGGTCAATGTGTGGGTCAATGTGTGTCAATGTGTGGGTCAATGTGTGTCAATGTGTGGGTCAGTGTGGGTCAGTGTGTCTCAATGTGTGGGTCAATATCGGTCAATGTGTCTCAATGTATGGGTCAATGTGTGGGTCACTGTGTGTCAATGTGTGGGTCAATGTGTGGGTCAATATGGGTCAATGTCGGTCAATGTGTGGGTCAATGTGTGTCAATGTGTGGGTCAATGTGGGTCAATGTGTCTCAATATGGGTCAATATGGGTCAATGTGGGTCAATGTGGGTCAATGTGTCTCGATGTGTGGGTAAATGTGGGTCAATATGGGTCAATATGGGTCAATGTGTGGGTCAATATGGGTCAATGTGTGTCAATGTGTGGGTCAGTGTGGGTCAATGTGTGGGTCAATGTGGGTCAATGTGTGGGTCAATGTGTGGGTCAATATGGGTCAATGTGGGTCAATGTGTGGGTCAATGTGTCTCAATATGGGTCAATGTGTGGGTCAATGTGTCTCAATATGGGTCAATATGGGTCAATGTGTGGGTCAATATGGGTCAATGTGTGTCAATGTGTGGGTCAATATGGGTCAATGTGTGGGTCAATATGGGTCAATGTGTGGGTCAATGTGGGTCAATGTGTGGGTCAATGTGTGGGTCAATATGGGTCAATGTGTGGGTCAATATGGGTCAATGTGTGAGTCAATGTGTGTCAATGTGTGGGTCAATGTGTGGGTCAATGTGTGGGTCAATGTGTGGGTCAATGTGGGTCAATGTGTCTCAATGTGTGGGTCAATGTGTGGGTCAATGTGTGGGTCAATGTGTGGGTCAATGTGGGTCAATGTGTCTCAATGTGGGTCAATGTGTGTCAATGTGTGGGTCAATGTGTGGGTCAATGTGGGTCAATGTGTGAGTCAATGTGGGTCAATATGGGTCAATGTGTCTCAATGTGGGTCAATGTGTGGGTCAATGTGTGGGTCAATGTGTGGGTCAATATGGGTCAATGTGTGGGTCAATGTGTGTCAATGTGTGGGTCACTGTGGGTCAATATGGGTCAATGTCGGTCAATGTGTGGGTCAATGTGTGTGTCAATGTGTCTCAATGTGTGTCAATGTGTGTGTCAATGTGTGGGTCAATGTGGGTCAGTGTATCTCAATGTGTGGGTCAATGTGTGGGTCAATGTGGGTCAATGTGTGTCAATGTGTGGGTCAATGTGTCTCAATGTGGGTCAATGTGTCTCAATGTGGGTCAATGTGTGGGTCAATATGGGTCAATGTGGGTCAATGTGTGGGTCAATGTGTGGGTCAATGTGTGGGTCAATGTGTGGGTCAATGTGTGGGTCAATGTGTGTCTCAATATGGGTCAATGTGTGTGTCAATGTGTGTGTCAATGTGGGTCAGTGTGGGTCAATGTGTGGGTCAATGTGGGTCAGTGTATCTCAATGTGTGGGTCAATGTGTGGGTCAGTGTATCTCAATGTGTGGGTCAATGTGGGTCAGTGTATCTCAATGTGTGGGTCAATGTGTGGGTCAGTGTATCTCAATGTGTGGGTCAATGTGGGTCAATGTGTCTCAATATGGGTCAATGTGTGTGTCAATGTGTGGGTCAATGTGTGGGTCAATATGGGTCAATGTGTGTCAATGTGTGGGTCAATGTGTGTCAATGTGTGTGTCAATGTGGGTCAGTGTATCTCAATGTGTGGGTCAATGTGTGGGTCAATATGGGTCAATGTGTGGGTCAATGTGTGGGTCAATGTGGGTCAATATGGGTCAATGTGTGGGTCAATGTGTGGGTCAATGTGTGTCAATGTGTGGGTCAATGTGGGTCAATGTGTCTCAATATGGGTCAATATGGGTCAATGTGGGTCAATGTGGGTCAATGTGTGGGTCAATGTGGGTCAATGTGGGTCAATGTGTCTCGATGTGTGGGTCAATGTGGGTCAATGTGGGTCAATGTGGGTCAATGTGTCTCGATGTGTGGGTCAATGTGGGTCAATATGGGTCAATGTGGGTCAGTATGGGTCAATGTGTGGGTCAATGTGGGTCAATGTGGGTCAATGTGTGGGTCAATGTGGGTCAATGTGTGGGTCAATGTGGGTCAATGTGTGGGTCAATGTGTGTGTCAATGTGTGGGTCAATGTGGGTCAATGTGTGGGTCAATGTGTGGGTCAGTGTATCTCAATGTGTGGGTCAATGTGTGGGTCAATGTGTGGGTCAATGTGTGGGTCAGTGTATCTCAATGTGTGGGTCAATGTGTGGGTCAATGTGGGTCAGTGTATCTCAATGTGTGGGTCAATGTGTGGGTCAATGTGTGGGTCAATGTGGGTCAATGTGTGTCAATGTGTGGGTCAATGTCAATGTGTGGGTCAATGTGTGGGTCAATGTGTGGGTCAGTGTATCTCAATGTGTGGGTCAATGTGTGGGTCACTGTGTGTCAATGTGTGGGTCACTGTCTCTCTCTCCCCCCCCATAGGCCCTTGTTCGCCGCGCCTTGGCCGAGCTGGGCCTGGCGAGCTGGGGCCGAGCCCAACTCTTTGTAGCCGTGGGGCGAGAACTGGGGCTGGGCCGTGCCCCACGCGCCCCACGGGAGCTCCTGGAGGCCGTGGGGAGCTGCCGGGACCGGGAGGAGCTGAGGCGGAGGCTGAGATGCGAGTGCGCCGTGTGCGGGACCGCGCTGCCCAGGGAGCAGGTGGGGACACATAGGGAGCCATTGGGACACATAGGGACACATAGAGACACATAGGGACCCATAGAGACCCATAGGGACCCATAGGGACACATAGGGACCCATAGAGACCCATAGGGACCCATAGGGACACATAGGGACCCATAGAGACCCATAGGGACACATAGGGACCCATAGAGATCCATAGAGACACATAGGGACACATAGGGACCCATAGAGACACATAGGGACACATAGGGACACATAGAGACACATAGAGACCCATAGGGAGCCATAGAGACCCATAGGGACCCATAGGGACCCATAGGGACCCATAGGGACACATAGGGACACATAGAGACCCATAGAGACCCATAGAGACCCATAGGGACACATAGGGACACATAGAGACCCATAGAGACCCATAGGGAGCCATAGGGACCCATAGAGACCCATAGAGAGACATAGGGACCCATAGAGACCCATAGAGAGACATAGGGACACATAGAGACCCATAGAGACACATAGAGACACATAGGGACACATAGAGACCCATAGAGACCCATAGGGAGCCATAGGGACCCATAGGGACCCATAGAGAGACATAGAGACACATAGAGACACATAGGGACACATAGGGAGCCATAGGGACACATAGGGACCCATAGGGAGCCATAGAGACCCATAGGGACCCATAGGGACCCATAGGGACACATAGGGACCCATAGAGACCCATAGGGACACATAGGGACACATAGAGACCCATAGCGTCCCATAGAGACTCCATAGAAACCCGTAGAGAACCCATAGAGCCCCCATAGACCCCCATAGAGCCCAATAGAGCCCCATAGAGATCCAGAGAGAGCCATAGAGCCCCCATAGACCCCCATAGACCCCCATAGAGCCCCATAGAGACCCATAGAGACCCATAGTTCCCCCATAGACCCCCATAGAGACCCCATAGAGCCCCCACAGAGCCCCATAGAGCCCCCATAGACCCCCATAGAGCCCCATAGAGCCCCCATAGACCCCCATAGAGACCCCATAGAACCCCATAGGGACCCATAGAGTCCCATAGAGCCCCATAGCGCCCCATAGAGACTCATAGAGACCCCATAGAGACTCCATAGATCCCCATAGCGGCCCATAGAGACCCCATAGATCCCCATAGAGCCCCATAGAGCCCCCATAGATCCCCATAGAGCCCCATAGAGACCCCATAGACCCCCATAGAGCCCCCATAGAGCCCCATAGACCCCCATAGCGCCCCATAGAAACCCCATAGCCGCCCCATAGCCCCCTCGTTGTTCTCCCAGGCCCAGGTGCTGACTGGCTGCCAGTGCTGGCTGTGCCCGGAGTGCTTCCGGCTCCACTTCACGGTGGGCGTGCGGGAGCGACGCGTGCGGGACCTCGTGTGTCCGGCCTGCGCCAGGCCCGACCTGGGTGACGAGGCCTCCGCCGCGCACTACTTCTCCACCTTGGACGCACAGGTTGTTATGGGATGGAAGAAGGGGTTTAATGGGGCTCAATGGGGTTATAATGGGGTTTAATGGGGTTATAATGGGGTTTAATGGGGTTTAATAGGGTGTAATGGGGTTTAATGGGGTGTAATGGGGTTTAATGGGGTGTAATGGGGTGTAATGGGGGGTAATGGGGGTTGACGAGGCCTCCGCCGCGCACTACTTCTCCACCTTGGACGCCCAGGTTGTTATGGGATGGACGAAGGGGTTTAATGGGGCTCAATGGGGTTTAATGGGGTTATAATGGGGTTCAATGGGGTTATAATGGGGTTTAATGGGGTTCAATGGGGTTTAATGGGGTGTAATGGGGTTTAATGGGGGTTAATGGGGGGTAATGGGGGGTAATGGGGGTTGACGAGGCCTCCGCCGCACACTACTTCTCCACCTTGGACGCACAGGTTGTTATGGGATGGACGAAGGGGTTTAATGGGGTTTAATGGGGTTATAATGGGGTTATAATGGGGTTTAATGGGGTGTAATGGGGTTTAATGGGGTTCTATGGGGTGTAATGGGGTTTAATGGGGGGTAATGGATAATGGGGGGGTAATGGGGGTTGACGAGGCCTCCACCGCGCACTACTTCTCCACCTTGGACGCACAGGTTGTTATGGGATGGATAAAGGGGTTTAATGGGGTTTAATGGGGTTCAATGGGGTTTAATGGGGTTATAATGGGGTTCAGTGGGGTGTAATGGGGTTTAATGGGGTTCAATGGGGTTTAATGGGATTTAATGGGGTATAATGGGGGGTAATGGGGGTTGACGAGGCCTCCGCCGCGCACTACTTCTCCACCTTGGACGCACAGGTTGTTATGGGATGGACAAAGGGGTTTAATGGGGTTATAATGGGGTTTAATGGGGTTGAATGGGGTTCAGTGGGGTTTAATGGGGTTCAATGAGGTTATAATGGGGTTTAATGGGATTTAATGGGGTGTAATGGGGGATAATGGGGGGTAATGGAGGTTGACGAGGCCTCCGCCTCGCACTACTTCTCGACCTTGGACGCCCAGGTTGTTATGGGATGGAAAAAGGGGTTTAATGGGGTTATAATGGGGTTTAATGGGGTTCAATGGGGTTTAATGGGGTTTAATGGGGTTTAATAGGGTGTAATGGGGTGTAATGGGGTGTAATGGGGGATAATGGGGGGTAATGGAGGTTGACGAGGCCTCCGCCGCACACTACTTCTCCACCTTGGACGCACAGGTTGTTATGGGATGGACAAAGGGGTTTAATGGGGTTTAATGGGGTTCAATGGGGTTTAATGGGGTTCAATGGGGTTTAATGGGATTTAATGGGGGATAATGGGGGGTAATGGGGGTTGACGAGGCCTCCGCCGCGCACTACTTCTCCACCTTGGACGCCCAGGTTGTTATGGGATGGAAAAAGGGGTTTAATGGGGTTCAATGGGGTTTAATGGGGTTTAATGGGGTTATAATGGGTTACAATGGGGTTACAATGGGGTTGTAATGGGGTTACGATGGGGTTCAATGGGGTTATAATGGGGTTCAATGGGGTTATAATGGGTTACAATGGGGTTGTAATGGGGTTACAATGGGGTTTAATGGGGTTATAATGGGTTACAATGGGGTTGTAATGGGGTTACAATGGGTTATAATGGGGTTACAATGGGTTTATAATGGGTTACAATGGGTTTATAATGGGTTACAATGGGGTTATAATGGGGTTACAATGGGGTTACAATGGGTTTATAATGGGGGATAATGGGGTTATAATGGGGTTATAATGGGGTTATAATGGGTTACAATGGGGTTGTAATGGGGTTACAATGGGTTATAATGGGGTTACAATGGGGTTACAATGGGTTTATAATGGGTTACAATGGGGTTATAATGGGGTTACAATGGGGTTACAATGGGTTTATAATGGGTTACAATGGGGTTATAATGGGGTTATAATGGGTTACAATGGGGTTGTAATGGGGTTACGATGGGGTTACAGTGGGGTTATAATGGGGTTACAATGTGGTTATAATGGGTTACAATGGGGTTGTAATGGGGTTACAATGGGTTATAATGGGGTTACAATGGGGTTATAATGGGGTTACAATGGGGTTATAATGGGGTTACAATGGGGTTATAATGGGGTTACAATGGGTTATAATGGGGTTACAATGGGGTTACAGTGGGTTTATAATGGGTTACAATGGGTTATAATGGGGTTACAATGGGTTATAATGGGGTTATAATGGGGTTACAATGGGTTATAATGGGGTTACAATGGGGTTACAATGGGTTATAATGGGGTTACAATGGGGTTATAATGGGGTTACAATGGGTTATAATGGGGTTACAATGGGGTTACAATGGGGTTACAATGGGTTTATAATGGGGTTACAATGGGGTTATAATGGGGTTACAATGGGTTATAATGGGGTTACAATGGGGTTACAATGGGTTTATAATGGGTTACAATGGGGTTATAATGGGTTACAATGGGGTTACAATGGGTTTATAATGGGGTTACCAATGGGTTACAATGGGTTTATAATGGGTTACAATGGGGTTATAATGGGTTACAATGGGGTTACAATGGGTTTATAATGGGGTTACAATGGGGTTATAATGGGGTTACAATGGGTTATAATGGGGTTACAATGGGGTTACAATGGGTTTATAATGGGTTACAATGGGGTTATAATGGGGTTACAATGGGTTATAATGGGGTTACAATGGGGTTACAATGGGTTTATAATGGGGTTACAATGGGGTTACAATGGTTTATAATGGGTTATAATGGGGTTACAATGGGTTATAATGGGGTTACAATGGGGTTATAATGGGGTTACAATGGGTTATAATGGGGTTACAATGGGGTTACAATGGGTTTATAATGGGGTTACAATGGGGTTATAATGGGTTTATAATGGGTTACAATGGGTTTATAATGGGGTTACAATGGGGTTATAATGGGGTTACAATGGGGTTATAATGGGGATCAATGGGGTTACAATGGGGTTACAATGGGGTTACAATGGGGTTATTACAGGCTCTAAGGGCTTATTATGGGTTGCAGCTCCGCCAGTGCCTGGACCCGGCCACCTATGAGCTCTTCAGCCAGAAGCTGACGGAGCTGGAGCTCGAGCGAGACCCCCAGTTCCTCTGGTGCCCCCAGGTGCGCTATGGGGTCTCTATGGGGCAGCTATGGGGTCTCTATGGGTCTCTACGGGGCTCTATGGGGGCTCTATGGGGCTCTGTGGTGCTCTATGGGGTCTCTATGGGGCTCTATGGGGTTTCTAGGGGCTCTGTGGTGCTCTATGGGGTCTCTATGGGGCTCTATGGGGCTCTATGGGGTCTCTATGGGGTCTCTATGGGGACTCTATGGGGCTCTATGGGGCTCTATGGGGGCTCTATGGGGCTCTATGGGGCTCTGTGGGGCTCTATGGGGCTCTATGGGTCTCTATGGGGCTCTATGGGGGCTCTATAGGGCTCTGTGGGGTCTCTATGGGGGCTCTATGGGGGCTCTATAGGGCTCTATGGGGCTCTATGGGGTGCCTATGGAAGGCTATGGGGGGGGGGAGTGCTGCGGCACGGCCGCCAGGGGGCGCTATAATGCCGAGGGGGCGTGGTCAACCGAGGACACGCCCCCTCCCTCTGCTCTCTCGGGCCCTATGGGGTGTCTATGGGGCTCTATGGGGCTCTATGGGGTGTCTATGGGGGTCTGTGGGGCTCTATGGGGTGTCTATGGGGCAGCCCCACAGCGAGGCCTCTCCTCTGCCCCCAAGTGCTCCTTTGGCTTCATCTTCGAGGCGGAGCAAGGCCCTGCCCAGTGCCCCCAATGCAAACACAGCTGCTGCCCCCGCTGCCAGCGCCCGGTATGGGGCTCTATGGGGCTCTATGGGGCTCTATGGGGGGGCTGTGGGGTCTCTATGGGGCTCTATGGGGGACTGGGGGGTCTCTATGGGGCTCTATGGGGGGCTGGGGGGGCTCTATGGGGCTCTATGGGGGGCTGGGGGGGGCTCTATGGGGCTCTATGGGGGGCTGGGGGGGCTCTATGGGGCTCTATGGGGGGCTGGGGGGGCTCTATGGGGCTCTATGGAGAGCTGGGGGGTCTCTATGGGGCTCTATGGGGGGCTGTGGGGTCTCTATGGGGCTCTATGGGGGGCTGTGGGGTCTCTATGGGGCTCTATGGAGAGCTGGGGGGTCTCTATGGGGCTCTATGGGGGGCTGTGGGGTCTCTATGGGGCTCTATGGGGGGTTGGGGGGTCTCTATGGGGGGCTGGGGGGTCTCTATGGGGCTCTATGGGGGCTGGGGGGTCTCTATGGGGGGCTGGGGGGGCTCCATGGGGCTCTATGGGTCTCTGTGGGGTCTCTGTGGGGCTCTATGGGGTCTCTATGGGGGTCTGTGGGGTCTCTATGGGGTCTATGGGGGCTCTATGGGGCTCTAAGGGGTGTCTTTGGGGTATCTATGGGGGTCTATGGGGTCTCTATGGGTCCCTATGGCTCCCTATGGGGGTCTCTATGGGTCCCTATGGGTCCCAATGGGTCTCTATGGGTCCCTATGGCTCCCTATGGGGGTCTCTATGGGTCCCAATGGGTCTCTATGGGTCCCAGTGGCTCCCTATGGGGGTCTCTATGGGTCCCAATGGGTATGTATGGGTCCCTATGGCTCCCTATGGGTCTCTATGGGTCCCAATGGGTCTCTATGGGTCCCTATGGCTCCCTATGGGGTCTCTATGGGTCCCTATGGGTCCCAATGGGTCTCTATGGGTCCCTATGGGTCCCAATGGGTCTCTATGGGTCCCAGTGGCTCCCTGCCCACGCCTCCCTGTCCTGCGCTGCCTTTGAGGCCTGGCTCGGCTCCAGCGCCCCCCAAGCGGCGGCCGCCGTGGGGCTGGAGGACTTCCTGCAGGAGCACAGCATCGGTGCGCTAGGGGGCGCTGTGGGGCGGCTCTATGGGGGCTCTATGGGGGCTCTATGGGGCTCTATGGGGGCTCTATGGGGCTCTATGGGGGCTCTATGGGGATCTATGGGGCTCTATGGCGGCTCTGTGGGGCTCTATGGGGGTCTGTGTGTCCCTATGGGGTCTCTATGGGTCTCTATGGGTCCCAATGGGTCCCTATGGGGTCTCTATGTGTCCCTATGGGTCTCTATGGGTCCCTATGTGTCTCTATGTGTCCCTATGGGGTCTCTATGGGTCCCTATGTGGTCTCTATGTGTCCCTATGGGTCTCTATGGGGTTCCTATGGGTCTCTATGGGTCCCTATGGGTCTCTATGGGTCCCTATGTGGTCTCTATGGGTCCCTATTTGTCCCTATGGGGTCTCTATGGGTCTCTATGGGTCTCTATGTGTCCCTATGGGTCTCTATGTATCCCTATGGGGTCTCTGTGGGTCTCTATGGGTCCCTATGTGTCCCTATTGGGTCCCTATATGTCCCTATGGGGTCTCTGGGGGTCTCTATGGGTCCCTATATGTCCCTATGGCGTCTCTATGTGTCCCTATGGGGTCTCTATGGGTCCCTATGGGGTCCCTATATGTCCCTATGGGGTCTCTGTGGGTCTCTATGGGTCCCTATATGTCCCTATGGGGTCTCTATGTGTCCCTATGGGGTCTCTATGTGTCCCTATGTGTCCCTATGGGTCCCTATGGGTCCCTATGGGTCCCAATGGTGTCTCTATGGGTCCCAATGGGTCCCTCTGGCTCTCCCCCTCGCTAACCCTGTGCCCCATAGGCTGCCCGAGCTGTGGGGCTCGCTTTGCCCTGGCCCGGGGGGGCTGCCTCCACCTCCAGTGCTCCCAGTGCCAGCACCAGTTCTGCAGCGGCTGCAGCCGCCCCTTCCACCCCCGCAACGTGAGCTTAGGGGGCGCTATGGGGCAGCTATGGGGCAGCTATGGGGCAGCTATGGGGCTCTATGGGGTCTCTATGGGGTTTCTATGGGTCTCTATGGGGCTCTGTGGGGTCTCTATGGGGTTTTCTATGGGGCTCTGTGGGGCTCTATGGGGTCTCTATGGGTCACTATGGGTCTCTATGGGTCTCTGTGGGTATCTATGGGTCTCTGGGTCATTATGGGGTCTCTATGGGGTCTCTATGGGTCACTATGGGGCTCTGTGGGGTCTCTGTGGGGTTTCTATGGGGCTCTATGGGTCACTATGGGGCTCTGTGGGTCTCTGTGGGTCATTATGTGGTCTCTATGGGGCTCTGTGGGGTTTCTATGTGGTCTCTATGGGGCTCTGTGGGTCTCTATGGGTCTCTGTGGGTCATTATGGGGTCTCTATGGGGCTCTATGGGGTTTCTATGTGGTCTCTGTGGGGTCTCTATGGGGTTTCTATGGGGCTCTGTGGGGTCTCTATGGGGTTTCTATGGGGCTCTGTGGGGCTCTATGGGGTCTCTATGGGTCACTATGGGGCTCTGTGGGTCTCTGTGGGTCTCTATGGGTCTCTATGGGTCATTATGGGGTCTATGGGGTTTCTATGGGTCACTATGGGGCTCTGTGGGTCTTTGGGGTTTCTATGGGGCTCTATGGGTCACTATGGGGCTCTGTGGTGTCTCTTTGGGGTCTCTATGGGTCACTATGGGTCTCTATGGGTCTCTGTGGGTATCTATGGGTCTCTGGGTCATTATGGGTCTCTATGGTGTCTCTATGGGTCACTATGGGGCTCTGTGGGGTCTCTATGTGGTTTCTATGGGTCCCTATGGGTCTCTATGGGTCTCTATGGGCCATTATGGGGTCTCTGTGGGTCTCTATGGTCTCTATGGTTCTCTATGGGGTCTGTGTGGGTTCTCTATGGAGTGTCTGTGGGTCCCTATGGGTCTCTATGGGGTCTCTATGGGGTCTTCATGGGTCTCTATGGGTCTCTATGGGGTCTCTTTGAGTCCCTATGGGTCTCTATGGGGTCCCTGTGTATCTCTATGGGGTCTCTATGGGGCTCTGTGGGTCTCTGTGTGGTTTCTATGGGTCTCTATGGGGTCTCTAAGGGCTTCCTATGGATCTCTATGGGGCTGACCCCCATCTCCCCCCCCCCCCCAGACCTGCCCCATTGAAAGCTGCCCCCTACGTGGCTCCCTCCATGGGCATCACCCCCGGGACTGCATCTTCCACCTGCGGGACTGGAGCCCCCCCCGCCTGCAGCGGCTCCTCCAGGTGCGCTATGGGGCGCTATGGGGCGCTATGGGTCTCTATGGGGCCCTATGTGTCCCTATGGGGTCTCTATGGGGCCCTATGGGGTCTCTATGGGTCCTTATGGGGTCTCTATGGGTCCCTATGGGGTCTCTATGGGTCCTTATGGGGTCCCTATGGGGTCTCTATGGGTCCTTATGGGGTCTCTATGGGTCCCTATGGGGTCTCTATGGGTCCTTATGGGGTCCCTATGGGGTCTCTATGGGTCCCTATGGGGTCTCTATGGGGTCTCTATGGGTCCCTATGGGGTCTCTATGGGTCCTTATGGGGTCTCTATGGGTCCCTATGGGGTCTCTATGGGTCCTTATGGGGTCCCTATGGGGTCTCTATGGGGTCTCTATGGGTCCCTATGGGGTCTCTATGGGGCCCTATGGGGTCTCTATGGGTCCTTATGGGGTCTCTATGGGTCCTTATGGGGTGTCTATGGTTCCCTATGGAGTCTCTATGGGTCCCTATGGGGCTCTGCGGGGTCTCTATGGGTCCCAAAAGGGTCTCTCTGGGTGTCTATGGGGCGCTATGAGGGGGTCTGTGGGGTGCTATGGGTGTCTGTGGGGCACTACGGGGTATCTATGGGGTGCTTTGAGCCCTATGGGGTGCTCTGCAGCTTCTGTGGGGCTCTATGGGGTCTCTGTGGGGTGCTGTGGGGTTTCTGTGGGGCTCTATAGGGTCAGTATGGGGTGCTATGGGGTTTCTGTCGGGCTCTATGGGGTACCTATGGGTCGGTATGGGTCTCTATGGGGCACTATGGGGTTTCTGTGGGGCTCTGTGGGGTGCTATGGGGTTTCTATGGGGTCTCAGGGTGCTATGGGTTTTTTATGGGGCCTCTGTGGGGTTTTTCTGGGTTTCTATGGGGTGCTATGGCACTCTATGGGGTGCTGTGGGGTTTTCTATGGGGCTCTATGGGGTCTCCCTGGGGTGCTGTGGGGTTTCTGTAGGGATCTATTGCTCTCTATGGGGTGCTATGGCTCTCTATGGGGGTCTCTATGGGTCACTGTGGGGTTTCTATGGGGCTCTGCAGGGTCTCTATGGGTGTCTGTGGGGGGTCGGTGGGTTGCTCTGGGTGTCTATGGGGAGCTCTGGGTTTCTATGGGGCTCTATGGGGTGCAATGAGGGGTCTGTGGGGTGCTTATGGGGTGCTATGGGTTTCTGTGGGGCACTACGGGGTATCTATGGGGTGCTTTGAGCCCTATGGGGCTCTATGGGGCGCTATGCAGCTTCTATGGGGTCTCTGTGGGGTGCTGTGGGGTTTCTATGGGGCTCCGTGGGCTTTCTATGGGGCTCTATGGGGTGCTATGGGGTTTCTGTAGGGCTCTCTGGTCTCTTTATGGGTCCCTATGGGGCGCTATGGCACTCAATGGGGTGCTGTGGGGTTTCTGTAGGGCTCTATGGGGTGTCTATGGGTCCCTATGGGGTCTCTATGGGTCCCTATGGGGCTCTGCGGGGTCTCTATGGGGTCTCTACGCCTCTCTATGGGGCTGCCCCCTAACCCCTCCCTTCCAGGACGCCTCCATCCCCTTCGAGACCCAGCCCCCCGCCGCCTTCCCCCCTCCCCCCGGCGGTAAGACCCCCCCCCCCCCCATTTCCCCCCATATCCCCCCCCCCATATCCACCCCACACTTATGGGTCCGCCCCCTATCCCCCCCCCCCCCTCTTCTGCCCCATAGGCGGCTGCCTCCTGCTGGAGCAGAAAGAAACCCCCTTAGGCCTCAAGGACCAACCCTGCGGTCGCCACGCCCCCAAAGACCACGCGGGGCTCTGCCGGTGAGCGCTTATGGGGCAGCGCTATGGGGCTGAGCGCCCCATAGAGCCTCCGACCCCCCTCCGTTCACGCCTCGCTCCTCCCCGCCGCTAGGGGGCACTACACCGAGTACCTCGTCGGCCTCGTCAACCTCCACGGCCTCGACCCGCTCCCCCTTTACGACCCGGATGAGCTCCGCGCCGCCGCCGAGCGCCACCTAGCGGCGGGGAGGACCCGGCGCCTGGATGGGGAAGGGGGCGTGGCCTACGAACGGCGCCTGCGCAGCCTCCTCCAACGGGAAGCGCCGCTTTGTGGTGGTGGTGGTGGTGGTGGTGGTGGTGGAGGCGCCGCCCCCCGAAACACGTGACCCCCGGAGGAAGCGCGGGGAAAAGACGCGTGGGGAGGGGGGGGGAAGGAGAGAGAGAGAGAAACGGGGGAGGGGGGGGTGGTTTTGGCGCGCTGTCGCGGGTTTTGGCGCGCTACGGCGGGTTTTGGCGCGCTATCGCGGTTTTAGGCGCGCTATCGTGGGTTTTGGCGCGCTGTCGCGGGTTTTGGCGCGCTGCCGCGGGTTTTGGCGCGCTGTCGCGGGTTTTGGCGCGCTACGGCGGTTTTAGGCGCGCTACCGCGGGTTTTGGCGCGCTACCGCGGGTTTTGGCGCGCTGTCGCGATAGGGGTTAGGAGCGCTGCCGCGGTTTTTGGCGCGCTGTCGTGATAGGGTTAGGAGCGCTACTGCGGTTTTAGGCGCGCTGTCGCGACTGGTTTTGGGCACGTTATCGCGGTTTTTGGCGCGCTGTCGCGATGGTGTGGGCGCTATCGCGACGGTGTTAGCGCTATCGCGGGTTTAGTCGCGCTGTCGCGACCGGTTTTTGGCGCGCTATCGCGGTTTTCGGCGAGCTGTCGCGATAGGGGTTAGGCCCGCTACCGCGGTTTTTGGCGCGCTGTTGCGATAGGGCTTAGGTGCGCCGCCGCGGTTTTTGGCGCGCTGTCGTGATAGAGTTAGCGCTGCCACGGTTTTAGGCGCGCTGTCGCGACTGTTTTTTGGCGCATTACCGCGATTTTAGGCGCGCTATCGCGATATTAGGAGCGCTGTCGCGGTTTTAGGTGCGCTATCGCGGGGGGTTTTGGGAGCGCTGTCGCGATAGGGCTTAGGTGCGCTGCCGCGATTGGTTTTGGGCGCGCTATCGCGGTTTTAGGCGTGCTATCGCGACGGTGTTAGCGCTATCGCTGTTTTAGGCGTGCTGTCGCGACTGGTTTTGGGCGCGCTATTGTTGTTTTAGGTGCGCTATCGTGGGGGGGTTTAGGAGCACTGTCGCGATAGGGGTTAGGAGCACTGTCACGACAGGGTTAGGAGCGCTGTCGCAATTTTAGGCGCGCTGTCACGACTGGTTTTGGGCGCGTTATCGCGGTTTTTGGCGCGCTGTCGCGACTGGTTTTGAGCGCGCTATCGCTGGGATTTTTAGGAGCGCTGTCGCGACAGGGTTAGGAGCGCTACCGCGGTTTTTGGCGCACTATCGCGACGGTGTTAGCGCTATCGCTGTTTTAGGCGCGCTGTCGCGACTGGTTTTGGACGCGCTATCGCGGTTTTAGGTGCGCTATCACGGGGCCTTTTAGGAGCGCTGCCGCGGTTTTAGGTGCGCTGTCGCGACAGGTTTTGGGAGCGCTGTCGCGATAGGGCTTAGGAGCGCTACCGCGGTTTTAGGCGCGCTGTCGCGACTGGTTTTGGGCGCCTTATCGCGGTTTTTGGCGCGCTGTCGCTATGGTGTGCGCACTATCGTGACAGTGTTAGCGCTATCACGGTTTTAGGCGTGCTGTCGCGATAGAGTTAGGAGCGCTGCCACGGTTTTAGGCACGCTGTCGCGATTTTTTTGGCGCATTATCGCGATTTTAGGCGCGCTATCGCGATATTTGTTAGGAGCGCTGTCGCGGGTGTAGATGCGCTATCGCGGGGGGGTTTGGGAGCGCTGTCGCGATAGGGCTTAGGTGCGCTACCGCGGGTTTTGGCGTTCTATCGCGACGGTGTTAGCGCTATCGCGGTTTTAGGAGCGCTGTCGCGGGTTTTGGCGCGCTGTCACGATAGGGTTAGGAGCGCTACTGCGGTTTTAGGCGCGCTTTCGCGACTGGTTTTGGGCGCCTTATCGCGGTTTTTTGGCGCGCTGTCGCGATGGTGTGCGCACTATCGCGACAGTGTTAGCGCTATTGTGCTTTAGTCGCGCTGTTGCGACCGGTTTTTGGCGCGCTATCGCGATTTTAGGCGCGCTATCGCGATATTTTTTAGGAGCACTGTCGTGGTTTTAGGTGCGCTATCGCGGGGGGGGTTGGGAGCGCTGCCGCGATTGGTTTTGGGCGCGCTATCGCGACGGTGTTAGCGCTATCGCGGTTTTAGGCGCGCTGTCGCGACTGGTTTTGGGCGCGTTATCGCGGTTTTTGGCGCGCTATCGCGATGGTGTTAGCGCTATCACAGTTTTAGGCGCGCTATCGCAGTTTTAGGTGCTCTATCACGGTTTTAGATGCGCTATCGCGACGGTGTTAGGTGCGCTATCGCGAGTGTTTTTAGGAGCGCTGTCACAGAGGGGTTTGGCGCTCTATCGCAACCGCTTTAGGTGCACTATCGCGACGGTTTTAGTCGCACTATCGCGATAGTGTGAGGCGTGCTATCGCGGGGGTTCTTAGGAGCGCTGTCACAGAAGGGTTTGGCGCTCTAGCGCAACAGTTTTAGCCGCGCTATCGCGATAGAGTTAGGTGCGCTATCGCGATAGTTTTAGGCGCGCTATCGGGGGGGGGGGGTGTCTGGCGCTCTGTCGCGACCGCTTTAGGTGCACTATCGCGACGGTTTTAGTCGCGCTATCGCGATAGTGTTAGTCGCGCCATTGCGGGGGGTTCGGCGCTCTGTTGCGACCGCTTTAGGTGCACTATCGCGACGGTTTTAGTCGCGGTATCGCGATAGTTTTAGGCGCGCCATCGCGGGGGGGGGTTCGGCGCTCTGTCGCGACCTCCTTCAGGCGCGCTATCGCGGTTTTAGGAGCGCTATTGCAATAGTGTTAGTCATGTTATCGCGACGGTTTTAGTCGCGGTATCGCGATAGTGTTAGTCGCGCCATTGCGGGGGGGGGGTTCGGCGCTCTGTCGCGACCTCTTTCGGGCGTGCTATCGCGGTTTTAGGTGTGCTATCGCGATAGTGTTAGCCGCGCTATCGTGACGGTTTTAGTCGCGCTATCGCGATTGTTTTAGGCACGCCATCGCGGGGTGGGTTCGGCGCTCTGTCGCGACCGCTTTAGGTGCACTATCGCGATGGTTTTAGTCGCGCTATCGCGATAGTGTTAGTCGCGCTATCGCAACAGTTTTAGTCACGCTATCGCGATAGTTTTAGGTGTGCCATCGCAGGGGGGTTCGGCGCTCTGTCGCGACCGCTTTAGGTGCACTATCGCGACGGTTTTAGTCGCGCTATCGCGACAGTTTTCGTCGCGCTATCGCGATAGTTTTCGTCGCGCTATCGCCATAGTTTTAGGCGCTCTATCGCGACGCTTCCTCCCCTCCACCCGTCTGTCGCGGGTTTTTCCCCCCCCCCCCCCGAGCCCCGCTGTCGCGACAGGCGCGCGATGTCGCCGCCCCCCCCCCTTCCCCAGCGTCGCCTGCGGGCCTGGCTGCTGGAGCAGGTTTCGAGCGGGCGCTACGAGGGGCTGGTGTGGGACGACCCCGAGCGGACGGCGCTGCGCATCCCATGGCAACGGGGCGGGAGCGCGCTCTGCAAGGTGACGTCATCACGTCGGGGGGGGTGGGCGGGGCCTCATGGGTCGCTATGGGGCGATGTGGGGCGCCGTTGAGGTCTACGGGTGCCGTTGAGGTCTATGGGTGCCGTTGGTCGCTATGGGGCGCTGTTGATTCGCTATGGGGCGCTGTTGAGGTCTATGGGTGCCGTTGGTCGCTATGGGGCGCTGTTGAGGTCTATGGGTCGCATCGATCCCTATGGGGCGCTGTTGAGCCCTATGGGTGCCATTGATGCCAATGGGTGCCATTGATCGCTATGGGGCGGTGTTGAGCTCTATGGGTCCCATCGATCCCTATGGGGCGCTGTTGATTCGCTATGGGGCGCTGTTGAGGTCTATGGGTGCCGTTGGTCGCTATGGGGCGCTGTTGAGGTCTATGGGTGCCGTTGGTCGCTATGGGGCGCTGTTGATTCGCTATGGGGCGCTGTTGAGGTCTATGGGTGCCGTTGGTCGCTATGGGGCGCTGTTGAGGTCTATGGGTCGCATCGATCCCTATGGGGCGCTGTTGAGCCCTATGGGTGCCATTGATGCCAATGGGTGCCATTGATCGCTATGGGGCGGTGTTGAGCGCTATGGGGCGGTGTTGAGCTCTATGGGTCCCATCGATCCCTATGGGGCGCTGTTGATTCGCTATGGGGCGCTGTTGAGGTCTATGGGTGCCATCGATCCCTATGGGGCGCTGTTGATTCGCTATGGGGCGCTGTTGAGGTCTATGGGTGCCATTGATCCCTATGGGGCGCTGTTGATCTCTATGGGGTGCCATTGATTTCTATGGGGTGCCGTTGAACATTGATCCCTATTGGCCCCATTGATCCCTATTGGTTCCATTGCCCCCATCACCCCATAGACCCCATTATCCCATTGACCCCCATCGCCCCATAGACCCCCATTGCCCCATAGACCCCCATTGTCCCCTGTCACCCCATAGCCCCCCATTGCCCCCCATCACCCCATAGACCCCCATCACCCCATAGACCCCTATCGCCCCATAGACCCCCATTGCCCCCCATCACCCCATAGGCCCCCATCACCCCATAGCCCCCCATCACCCCATAGCCCCCCATCACCCCACATCACCCCATAGCCCCCCATTGCCCCCCATAGGCCTGGGCTGAGTTCAAGGGCCGCCTGCCCCCCGGTGCCCCCCCGGACCCCGCTGCTTGGAAGTCCCGGCTCCGCTGCGCCCTCCATAAGAGCCCCGAGTTCCAGGAGCTGCCCCATAGATCCCAGCCCCACGGACGCAGCCCCTATAGGGTCTATAGGGTCCTGCCCCCCAGGCCCGAGCCGGGGAGCACAGGTAAGGGGGTCTATGGGGGCTCTATGGGGCGTCTATGGGGTGTCTATGGGGGTCTATGGGGGTCTATGGGGGTCTGTGGGGGCTCTGTGGGGGTCTATGGGGGGTCTATGGGGGGTCTATGGGGGTCTATGGGGGTCTGTGGGGGCTCTGTGGGGGTCTATGGGGGGTCTATGGGGTGTCTATGGGGGTCTATGGGGGTCTGTGGGGGGTCTATGGGGGCCTATGGGGGTCTATGGGGGTCTGTGGGGTGTCTATGGGTGTCTATGGGGGTCTATGGGGGTCTATGGGGCACTATGGGGTGTCTATGGGGGGGTCTATGGGGGTCTATGGGGTGTCTATGGGGGTCTATGGGGGGGTCTGTGGGGGGTCTATGGGGGGTCTATAGGTCTCTATGGGGTGTCTTTGGGTCTCTATGGGTCTCTATGGAGTCTCTATGGGTCTCTATGGGGCTCTATGTGGTCTCTATGGGGTCTCTATGGGGGCTCTATGGGGGCTCTATGGGTCTCTATGGGGTCTCTATGGGTCTCTATGGGGTCTCTATGGGGTCTCTATGGGGTCTCTATGGGTCTCTATGGGGTCTCTATGGGTCTCTATGGGGTCTCTATGGGGTCCCTATGGGTCTCTATGTGTCTCTATGTGTCTCTATGGGTCTCTATGGGTCTCTATGGGTCTCTATGTGGTCTCTATGGGTCCCTATGGGTCTCTATGGGGTCTCTATGGGGTCTCTATGGGGTCTCTATGGGTCTCTATGTGCTCTCTATGGGTCCCTATGGGTCTCTATGGGTCTCTATGGGGTCTCTATGTGTCTCTATGTGTCTCTATGGGTCTCTATGGGTCTCTATGGGGTCTCTATGGGGTCTCTATGTGTCTCTATGTGTCTCTATGGGGTCTCTATGGAGTCTCTATGGGGTCTCTATGGGGTCTCTATGGGGTCCCTATGGGGCCTCATTCCCTCCCCCCCCCAGGTGGGAAGCGACCCCGCCCCCAGCAGCCGCAGGCGCCGCCTCTGATTGGCTCTTCCGGAAGCCCCGCCCCCGAGGAGGAGGAGGCGGAGGCCGGGGGCGGAGCCTCCGACCCAGGCCCCGCCCCCTCCGCCACCCAGGCCCCGCCCCCCCACGTGACCCTCACCCTGAGCAGCCCCCAGCCGCTGCCCCCCGCCGAGGGTGAGGCCAATGGGGGGGGGTCTATGGGTCTCTATGGGGTCTCTATGGGGCTCTATGGGGCTCTATGGGGCTCTATGGGTCTCTATGGGGTCTCTATGGGTCTCTATGGGGCTCTGTGGGGCTCTATGGGGCTCTATGGGTCTCTATGGGGTCTCTATGGGGCTCTGTGGGGCTCTATGGGGCTCTATGGGTCTCTATGGGGTCTCTATGGGGCTCTGTGGGGCTCTATGGGGCTCTATGGGGTATCTATGTGGGCTCTATGGGGTATCTATGGGGGCTCTATGGGGCTCTATGGGGCTCTATGGGTCTCTATGGGGGCTCTATGGGGCTCTATGGGTCCTTATGGGTCCTTATTGGGTTCTCTGGGTCTCTATGGGGTCTCTATGGGGTCTCTATGGGGTCTCTATGGGGTCTCTATGCGTCTCTATGGGTCCCTATGGGGTCTTTATGGGGGCTCTATGGGGCTCTATGGGTCCCTGTGGGGTCCATAGGGGTCTATATGGGTCTGTGGGGTCTCTATGGGTCTCCTTGTGGTCTCTATGGATCTCTATGGGGTCTCTATGGGGGCTTTATGGGTCTTTATGGGGTCTTTGTGGGGCTCTGTGGGGTCTCTATGGGTCTCTATGGGTCCTTATTGGCTTCTATGGTTCTCTATGGGGTCTCTATGGGTCTCTAAGGGGTCTCTATGGGGTCTCTATGGGTCCTTATGTGTTTCTATGGGGCTCCCTATGCGTCTCCATGTGGTCTCTGGGGGGCTCTGTGTGGCTCTATGGGGTCTCTATGGGGTCTCTATGGGTCTCTATGGGTCCCTATGGGTCCCTATGTGTCTCTATGGGTCTCTATGGGTCTCTATGGGTCCCTATGGGTCCCTATGGGTCTCTATGGGTCTCTATGGGTCCCTATGGGTCCCTATGTGTCTCTATGTGTCTCTATGGGTCTCTATGTGTCCCTATGGGTCCCTATGGGTCCCTATGTGTCTCTATGGGTCTCTACATGTCCCTATGTGTCCCTCTGCCCCCCATAGGCCCCCATTGCCTCCTCGTCTCCCTCCTCGCCGCCGGCTCCCCCTGCAGTTCCCTCCTCCTGCCCCCCGGCGACTTCCTCCTCGAGCACCACCCCCCAGCTCCCCATAGCGCCCCTGCCCCACACCTCCTGCCCCGCCTCCTCCTCAGCCCCACTGCGCCCCATAGCCCTATGGGGCAGCTCCTTGTGGGGCTGGGCCTTTTGGTAGCCAGCACCCGCCGTGGCCTCTACCTCCGCCTCCGCCCGGGACCTCCGGGCCACCAGGGGGCGCTGAGGCTCCGCGCCCCACACGCGCCCCCCAACCTGCCCCACGGCCAGCTCGTCCTGGCCTTCGACGCCGAGCGCTTCCGGAAGGGTGAGAGCCATGGGGTCCATTGGGGTGCATTGGGGTGCATTGGGACCCATTGGGGTGCATTGGGACCCATTGGGGTCCATTGGGGTGCATTGGGGTCCATTGGGGTGCATTGGGTTGCATTGGGGTCCATTGGGGTTCATTGGGGTCCTATGGGGCCATTGGGGTGCATTGGGTCCATTGGGGTGCATTGGGGTGCATTGGGTCCATTGGGGTCCATTGGGGTGCATTGGGTTCATTGGGGTGCATTGGGGTGCATTGGGACCCATTGGGGTGCATTGGGGTCCATTGGGGTCCATTGGGTTCATTGGGGTCCTATGGGGCCATTGGGGTCCATTGGGGTTCATTGGGTTCATTGGGGTCCATTGGGGTGCATTGGGACCCATTGGGGTGCATTGGGGTTCATTGGGGTGCATTGGGTCCATTGGGGTCCATTGGGGTGCATTGGGGTCCATTGGGGTCCATTGGGGTCCATTGGGGTGCATTGGGATGCATTGGGACCCATTGGGGTCCATTGGGGTGCATTGGGACCCATTGGGGTCCATTGGGGTGCATTGGGGTGCATTGGGTCCATTGGGGTCCATTGGGGTCCATTGGGGTCCATTGGGTCCATTGGGGTGCATTGGGGTGCATTGGGGTGCATTGGGTCCATTGGGGTCCATTGGGTTCATTGGGTTGCATTGGGGTCTATTGGGGTTCATTGGGGTGCATTGGGTTCATTGGGGTCCATTGGGGTGCATTGGGGTCCATTGGGTTCATTGGGGTCCATTGGGGTCCATTGGGGTCCATTGGGACCCATTGGGGTCCATTGGGGTGCATTGGGGTCCATTGGGTTCATTGGGGTCCATTGGGGTCCATTGGGTCCATTGGGGTGCATTGGGGTGCATTGGGTCCATTGGGTTGCATTGGGTCCATTGGGGTGCATTGGGACCCCTTGGGGTCCATTGGGGTGCATTGGGGTCCATTGGGGTCCATTGGGGTGCATTGGGGTCCATTGGGTCCATTGGGGTGCATTGGGGTGCATTGGGACCCATTGGGGTCCATTGGGGTCCATTGGGACCCATTGGGGTGCATTGGGTTCATTGTGGTGCATTGGGTCTATTGGGGTCCATTGGGGTCCATTGGGGTGCATTGGGGTCCATTGGGGTGCATTGGGACCCATTGGGTCCATTGGGATGCATTGGGGTGCATTGGGACCCATTGGGGTCCATTGGGGTGCATTGGGGTCCTATGGGGCCATTGGGGTCCATTGGGGTGCATTGGGGTCCATTGGGATGCATTGGGGTCCATTGGGACCCATTGGGGTCCATTGGGGTGCATTGGGACCCATTGGGGTCCATTGGGTTCATTGGGGTGCATTGGGGTGCATTGGGGTTCATTGGGGTGCTTTGGGGTCCATTGGGTCCATTGGGGTTCATTGGGTTGCATTGGGGTGCATTGGGTCCATTGGGGTCCATTGGGGTGCATTGGGACCCATTGGGGTCCATTGGGGTCCTATGGGGCCATTGGGGTCCATTGGGGTCCATTGGGGTCCATTGGGGTCCATTGGGGTCCATTGGGTCCATTGGGGTGCATTGGGTTGCATTGGGGTCCATTGGGGTCCATTGGGGTCCTATGGGGCCATTGGGACCCACTGGGGTGCATTAGGACCCATTGGGGTGCATTGGGTTCATTGTGGTGCATTGGGTCTATTGGGGTCCATTGGGGTCCATTGGGGTGCATTGGGGTCCATTGGGGTGCATTGGGACCCATTGGGTCCATTGGGATGCATTGGGGTGCATTGGGACCCATTGGGGTCCATTGGGGTGCATTGGGGTCCTATGGGGCCATTGGGGTCCATTGGGGTGCATTGGGGTCCATTGGGATGCATTGGGGTCCATTGGGACCCATTGGGGTCCATTGGGGTGCATTGGGACCCATTGGGGTCCATTGGGTTCATTGGGGTGCATTGGGGTGCATTGGGGTTCATTGGGGTGCTTTGGGGTCCATTGGGTCCATTGGGGTTCATTGGGTTGCATTGGGGTGCATTGGGTCCATTGGGGTCCATTGGGGTCCTATGGGGCCATTGGGGTCCATTGGGGTCCATTGGGGTCCATTGGGGTCCATTGGGTCCATTGGGGTGCATTGGGTTGCATTGGGGTCCATTGGGGTCCTATGGGGCCATTGGGACCCACTGGGGTGCATTAGGACCCATTGGGGTCCATTGGGGTCCATTGGGTTGCATTGGGGTCCATTGGGGTTCATTGGGGTGCATTGGGGTCCATTGGGGTGCATTGGGACCCATTGGGGTGCATTGGGGTTCATTGGGGTCCATTGGGGTGCATTGGGGTCCATTGGGGTCCATTTGGTCCATTGGGGTGCATTGGGACCCATTGGGGTGCATTGGGTCCATTGGGTCCATTGGGGTGCATTGGGGTGCATTGGGGTCCATTGGGGTCCATTGGGGTGCATTGGGGTCCATTGGGGTCCATTGGGGTGCATTGGGGTGCATTGGGGTCCATTGGGGTCCATTGGGATGCATTGGGGTGCATTGAGACCCATTGGGGTCCCCATTTCCCCCCACCCCAGAGGTTCGGGAGCACCGGGAAGGGGCCCCACGGCCGGAGGCGAGCGTGAGCCTGGAGCTGGGAGAGGACCCCGGAGCAGGGATCTGCATCCAGGTGGGGGCCGGCATCCCATAATAACCCCATTGAACCCCATTATCCCCCATTACCCCCCCTTAAACCCCATTATCCCCCATTATAACCCCATTACATCCCATAATAACCCCACTGAACCCCATTATCCCCCATTATAACCCCATTACATCCCATAATAACCCCACTGAACCCCATTATCCCCCATTACCCCCCCTTAAACCCCATTATCCCCCATTATAACCTCATTACATCCCATAATAACCCCACTAAACCCCATTATCCCCCATTACCCCCCCTTAAACCCCATTATAACCCCATTATAACCCCATTACATCCCATAATAACCCCATTGTTCTCTATTACATCCCATAATAACCCCATCACACCCCATTGAACCCCATTACACCCCATAATGACCCCATTATCCCTCATTATATCCCATAATAACCCCATCACACCCCGTTATACCCCATTACACCCCATAGTAACCCCATTATAACCCCTTTACATCCCATAATACCCCTATTCCACTCCATAATACCCCTTTACATCCCATAATACCCCCTTTACACCCCATAATACCCCATTCCACCCCATAATACCCCTTTACACCCCATAATACCCCATTCCACCCCATAATACCCCCTTTACATCCCATAATACCCCCTTTTACATCCCATAATACCCCCCTTACACCCCATAATACCCCATTCCACCCCATAATACCCCCCTTTACATCCCATAATACCCCTTTACACCCCATAATACCCCTTTACACCCCATAATACCCCCATTCCACCCCATAATACCCCCTTTTACATCCCATAATACCCCTTTACACCCCATAATACCCCCCTTACATCCCATAATACACCCTTTAATCCCATAATACCCCCATTTCCACCCATAATACCCCCCTTTACATCCCATAATACCCCTTTACATCCCATAATACCCCCATTCCACCCCATAATACCCCCATTCCTCCCCATAATACCCCCTTTACATCCCATAATACCCCCTTTACACCCCATAATACCCCCATTCCATCCCATAATACCCCTTTACACCCCATAAACCCCCTTTACACCCCATAATACCCCATTCCACCCCATAATACCCCTTTACATCCCATAATACCCCCTTTACACCTTATAATACCCCCTTACATCCCATAATACCCCCCTTTACACCCCATAATACCCCTTTACACCCCATATACCCCCCTTACACCCATAATACCCCCTTTACACCCCATAATACCCCCTTTACATCCCATAATACCCCCTTACACCCCATAATACCCCCATTCCATCCCATAATACCCCTTTACACCCCATAATACCCCCTTTACACCCCATAATACCCCATTCCACCCCATAATACCCCTTACATCCCATAATACCCCCTTTACACCCCATAATACCCCCTTTACATCCCATAATACCCCTTTACACCCCATAATACCCCCTTACATCCCATAATACCCCCCTTTACACCCCATAGCCCTTTACACCCCATAATACCCCCCTTACACCCCATAATACCCCCTTTACATCCCATAATACCCCCTTACATCCCATAATACCCCCCTTTACACAACGCTAATACCCCTTTACACCCCATAATACCCCTTTACACCCCCATAATACCCCCTTTTACATCCCATAATACCCCCCTTACATCCCATAATACCCCCTTTACACCCCATAATACCCCTTTACACCCATAATACCCCATTCCACCCCATAATACCCCCTTTACCCCCATAATACCCCATTCCACCCCATAATACCCCCCTTTACATCCCATAATCCCCTTTACATCCCATAATACCCCCTTTTACATCCCACAATACCCCCCTTACACCCCATAATACCCCATTCCACCCCATAATACCCCCCTTTACATCCCATAATCCCCCTTTACATCCCATAATACCCCCTTTACATCCCATAATACCCCCATTCCACCCCCATAATACCCCCTTTACATCCCATAATACCCCTTTACATCCCATAATACCCCCATTCCACCCCATAATACCCCCATTCCTCCCCATAATACCCCCTTTACATCCCATAATACCCCCTTTACATCCCATAATACCCCCTTTACACCCCATAATACCCCATTCCACCCCATAATACCCCTTACACCCCATAAAACCCCCTTTACATCCCATAATACCCCTATTCCACTCCATAATACCCCCTTTACATCCCATAATACCCCCTTTACACCCCATAATACCCCATTCCACCCCATAATACCCCTTTACAC